TGTGATTGGCCGAACACCGCAAGTACTCGTCGGAAATGTAACGCCCCTTACCATAATCGCGAGCTTCATCTTTCAAAATAAATGTAAAGACAGAGCCCGAAAGGGGAACAGAGTCTTGTGACAGACACAGTGATGAATATGTGTTTGCAGTACAAAAGCCACGGTTAAGACAGCTGACTTCACTGTGACGCGCGCAGACACACACACACAACGCTCTCTCTCGCGTGCGCGTGCACGCACGCACACACACACACACACACGATGCTCAAAACTCAGCATTTGAACGTTGTAACACTCCAAAGAGAAAGGAAAACTTGAAATCGCATCATATGACCCCTTTAATATATATATATATATTTTTTTATGGAAACCATGACACATTTTTCTGAATTATTTCATTTAAAACTCAGAAAAAGTATTTTACACTGTTAGAGAAACCAAGTCAAACAATTTCTAGACCTAATTTTTTTTTTTTTTACATTTTTTAATACTATGGGCTTTAAAAATGAGCTGGGCTTTTAAAAAAAAAATAATAAAAAAATAGTAGCAAATGCAATATAAAAAAGACTCCAAAGTTTAATACAAGTCATTAATAATAATACATTACAACAAACAACCAAGTACAACTATATACCATTGTTAACTTGCCGCATACAGGTATTTGTATATCATCAATTTCAGAAAAATGGTGCTTGAAAAACCAACTGAAATAAACAGCGTACAGATCTATGTTGACATAATATCAGCCATAAATTAAACAACAAATGTTGCTGCTTTATATCAGCAAGGCAGAAACACACAGCGGCCAACAACAGAATAACATAACACGGCCTACTTCAAACTCACAATAAACAAAGGGTCCAGAGCATTCACATATTCACAACAGCTCATTGAGCCGCAGGGCCCACAATACACGGAGGAATGGGCTGTCATGTCCAAGCATGACTGCTTTACATTTCTGAAGACTGAACTTGGGTGAAAAGTGGAGAAAAAAAATTACAGGATGCCAAATTCCAGTCCAATGCTCAAGTTGATTTCTAAATCACATTCTACAAAATATACAAATTCTAAAGTCAGAAGAGGGTGGATGAACTAGAAAATGTCACTTATGACCTACAGTGCAATATATACAGAAAATTCAATCTATTTCAATCTGAACCTGAAAAGATATTTGCTTACAGTACTTGTAACTCTGCCAAGAGTTGGACCCTATGGAGTCACAATAAAAGTGTTATTCCTCAACTTCATAAGTGGCTGTGAGCTCTAGAGTGCACCGACCTCTAGAACAGAAACAAAAGCCCTAAATATACTGTTGTTCAGACTACGAAGCCATTCTAACAACCACTGGGAGCTTTCCAGCAACCGGCGCTGATCAGCAGGAGAAACAGCTAGAAAATATGCAGTGACCACCTGGATTCCTCCAGAAAGAGGCTTGAATGAAAAACAGAAAATGCAACTGCTTCTAAAAAGGCCAGTATTCCGTATGTAAACTCGGCACATGTCTGGTATTCTATTTACAATCTAGCACTTGACCTGATTTGTTTGAACAAAAACAGCCCACTATGACAGAATACCACAGATCCGGGGCGGATTCTGAAGGCATACAAGGAAACGAAAGATTTAACGACAGGTTAAACGCATTTAGCCACTCAACGCACATAGGGCTAAAACGGGATCAGCACGACAATGAGGAACCGGCCAACTTATTGGTTTAAAAATAGCTGTAATGCAATTGAGTAAAGGCTGTGTGAGCTTTTAAACACAATGCATAGTCAACGACTGCAGAGCAGAAAAAGCTGCAGCTCTGAGGGCACACTGAAAGTAATTTTTACTGCCATTTGTAGCGCAATATTAAACGGACTTTCTTTGCAAGAGGTACAAGATTTTCCATGAATAATTCTAGGCAGGATGTACCAGTGAAATTTCATGTTTCTGAGGCAGAGACATATTAATGGTGATTAAAACAAAGGCAGGACATTGAGCCAGTACTCGCGACCGATGCACTTAATCTGATTCCCGTGGTGAATAAAACGGCAGAGTGAGTCACACCCCATAAATCAAAAGCATTCGGGATGGCGCATGAAACGTTACATCTCTCATGAGCACATGGGACATCTTATTCAAGAGCAAATGATCCTTACAGGTATGTGACTGTGCACATATAAAACAGTGCTATTATTAACCAAAAATATTACAAATCATTTTCAGCAACTGAAATAAAGCTGAAATCAAATAAAATATAATGTTAGAAAAAAACCTAACTTAAATTAGAAATGTTACCTTGGCAGCTAACTGAAATACATTTACATAAAAAAAATTGTTGAAACCAAAACTGATATAAAAAAAAGTAATAGAATCACAAAGAAGGAGATGCTTGTCCACTCCAAGAGAATGTTAAAAAAAACAAAAAAAAATGGATAATCTGCCTCACCATTGCCAATATTCCTGGAAGCATTTAAAGAATGACTGTCTTGTTTGACAATTTGTTATACATATGCCAAAGCGCTTGCGTTTACCCAACCATCCTCAAGTGACACTAAGAGCAGAATAAACACTCATGTTTACCTGCAGACGAAGTGGAGATATCTTCACACTGTATCTCAGGGGGGTTTCTGAAGACATTGAGCTTGGTAAAGCACTGAGAGAAAACTGCAGCTTGTTTCCAACCACCTGACACAGGACATTCTGCAAAAAGAATACAATTATGACTAAGACCAGTTTGTCACTTTAAATATCCTCATGCTTCATCAGTCATAACATAGCTAATAATCTTTCTGAATCATCAAAACGAGAAGTCTTATAACCCTATTTTGATTCAAAACATCCAAACCTAAATACAGTTCTCGTAAGCAAGCAGGGTGAGATAATAAAGTAGTATGGCAACAAATAGTTTACTCGTATAGGTTAGTGTGTATAAACGTTCAAAGAGTGACCTTACTTTTTGACTGGGTGTTTTAGTAAAGCTTGAAATCTGGTCCACGGCCAGTTCTGATGATTGAACACCATCTTCTTCAAATGTCAGCTGGATCCCACTCTAATAAGAGGAACAAAACACCCAAGGAAAACAATAAGCAAAAAAGACCACAACATTGACCTTTTTAGGAGCTTGTATGTGCTACTTTAAAAATGAAGACTAATCATAGATTTAACTGAATTAAAACAACAACAACAACAACAAACCCACCTGTGATCTACAAGCTTCTCCATTAAGGCTCCTGAACCAGGCTCTTCTCCACTGACTCTTCCAGCTTTTCAGAGACAGCACCCAGCATAAAATCCCATCGGCTTCCTCAGAATCCACATTACTGAGAGGTGTTTTCCCAACAGGAGGTTCGTTGGAAAAATACAGCACCAAGTATATAATCAAAGTGACAACAGAGGCCAGAAAGAGAGTGACCATGCAGAGCCACTGCCAGTCACTCACCCAGGAGAAAACACCCTCCATAGACGACATGATCACCGAGCCATTCACTTTAAACCCTTAACATGTTTACCATCAGCCCTACTCCTCTCCCTTCCGCATCCCAGCACAATAACGACACTTTCCTTCCTAGTATTGACTAATAAAACTCCTTCACAAACAGCAAAAATGAAAGTTCACGGTGGGTGGGTGGAAACACGCGAAAGGTGGGTTGAGGCTCGTAAATCTCACTTCAACCAGCACGACAGCGACAGACAGATGTTTTTTAACACAAAATACAATTGTTAAAATCAGATGTTTAAAATATTAGAGCATCTGCACAACTACTGACACTCTAAGTAGCATTTTTAACACGGCAGTTCACAGTAAACCGCCCGTGAATGAATCTGCGAGATTTTGACCGGAAAAATCGTCTCTTGTCGGACACAAACAGATGAAATGTTTTTCAAATATTGGCAGTTCACTGCTGGATTCTGGCGGGGACCTGCGTCTCCATGATGATCAGGGCCGGATGCCGAAGGACTGGGCCAAGGCAGGTGCTCAGGAGAACAGTCCGAAGGTGTGTGCTGATTGTTTTGATGCTGCTTTGGTTCTATGTCTATAAAATGCAGCACCAGTGCAGCCTTAAACTTTGTCTTTGTCATGACAGAGTATTTCATAATGCAGTTATCACATTTTAATTACAATTTCATAGTTTCAAACACATTTCAGGATGTTTTTATTTACATTTATATAATTATTTTAGTATAGTAGTAATTTCGTTGTTCAAATCCGATTCCAAAAAAGTTGGGACACTGTACAAATTGTGAATAAAAACAGAATGCAATGATGTGGAAGTTTCAAATTTCAATAGTTTATTCAGAATACAACATAGATGACATCAAATGTTTAAACTGAGAAAATTTATAATTTTAAGGGAAAAATAAGTTGATTTTAAATTTCATGGCATCAACATCTCAAAAGTTGGGACAAGGCCATGTTTACCACTGTGTGGCATCCCCTCTTCTTTTTATAACAGTCTGCAAACGTCTGGGGACTGAGGAGACAAGTTGCTCAAGTTTAGGAATAGGAATGTTGTCCCATTCTTGTCTAATACAGGCTTCTAGTTGCTCAACTGTCTTAGGTCTTCTTTGTCGCATCTTCCTCTTTATGATGCGCCAAATGTTTTCTATAATCTCCTTTCTGATATTGCTCCACTATTTTTCGCCGCAGCATTGGGGGAATTGGTGATCCTCTGCCCATCTTGACTTCTGAGAGACACTGCCACTCTGAGAGGCTCTTTTTATACCCAATCATGTTGCCAATTGACCTAATAAGTTGCAAATTGGTCCTCCAGCTGTTCCTTATATGTAGATTTAACGTTTCTGGCCTCTTATTGCTACCTGTCCCAACTTTTTTGGAATGTGTAGCTCTCATGAAATCCAAAATGAGCCAATATTTGGCATGACATTTCAAAATGTCTCACTTTCAACATTTGATATGTTATCTATATTCTATTGTGAATAAAATATAAGTTTATGAGATTTGTAAATGATTCCATTCCTTTTTTATTCACAATTTGTACAGTGTCCCAACTTTTTTGGAATTGGGTTTGTATATGCACCGCAGTGTAAAGGCATCATTAGACCATTTATTCTTTTTTATCTACAGATGCTTGCTTTTCTGAAGAGATGTGAGTCTCAAATGCAGAGGTTGCTGCAAACCCATCCGTCCAGGGATGCGCGTATCACCCCAACCTCCTCAAAGACACTGCTCAGCTCTCCATCCCTGCTTAAGCTTTTGCGACCTCTGTAAGATCTGCAGCTCTTCTCTGACCATTCATCTTTATCAGTCAACACTTTCTGTGTTTTAAGGCTTGAATACACGACTTTCAAAACCTTAACAGATTTGAAAACACTAGGAATAAAACACTTGACGACTTTGTAAATAGTTGCAGAGAACCAGAATGCAAATCAATGGAAAATATGTGCAAACATTGTGTAGTGTTCTCCAGCCTTTAGTTATAGTGTCATTTAGAGAAAGAGAAAGAAACAATACCTAGAACAGTGATTCAAGACTCTGATTGTACAAAAGTAAAAGTAAAGTTTTATTTGTATTTGTCCTTCTCTTTAGGGCATCTGGGCTCACTCATGAAAATAAAATAAATTGTAAGATGTCTGCCTGTGATATGATGATGCAGTGTTTTGGCTATGGAAAGGTATGCATAAACATTTTTTTCTCTCTTGCAAATATTTTGAGAAGGTTAAACCTTTATACATAAATGTTTTCATATTAACAAACATGTTCTAAATCCTAGACTACGATTATAAGGATTATAAAATGAACATTCCCCCTTTCCATTAGCATACCAAATCTACTAAACACAATGTACTTTCATGTTGACAGCTATTAATCACATTGAGCTGTTAAGATGTTGTTCTGTAATCATTACAGTTATACTCTGAGAAGCCAGAGTTGGGTCTGGGACTGGCTGCTTCTGTGCCCTTGATAAGTGACAGTGATTTAGCTCAAGCTAACGATGAGCCTCTCAATTCCTTTATGTGTGGATCTTTCATACATATGACCAAGTAAGACATTGTAATCAAGCCATGACCTTTTATTGAATATTCATGAAGTAAGAGGACAGATTTAAATGGATATACAGCATTTCCTTACAGCAAACGTAATAATTTTTTTAACTCTGCCTTAGTTACAGTTGGAAAGGATGTCGTGTCACTGTTAAAGAGCTGCATGATCAGATTTTGCAACAATATGAAGAACGCGATGGTCTCCTGGATCTACTCATTTCTGAGCAGGAGTATTGCTGGTAGGACAATGAACACTCTTTAAAAGCTGCAAAAGAGTTTGACTGTAAACATGTAAAGGACTGCTATTAATAAAACTTGATTTAGGTGATAAGTCTTTTTGTATAATTTTGTAGACAATATGAAACATTATTTGCAGTGCATTCACTTCCGTAATGTTACGTATTTCTGAGTGAAACTGAATTAAATTTGTGAATTTTATCCAATTGGATTGGATGAAACATGTTGGGATGTGATGTTACTGGTTAATATTATATTGCTATTATTATTTTTCCTGGGCCGCATAGCTGTTCATCAAAAAAATAATTTTAAAGCAGATAAAGATATCACTTTGATGAAGGATTATTAAACCTATATTATTATTTTTAGAGTTATATATTATAGAGATAATGGATTCTATGTTATTTTAGGGTTATTGAGATCCTATTGTAGTTTTTTTTCTCTTTTCGGTTTGCATTTTAAATTTAATATTTATGTTGTAGTAATTTTGTTGTTTTTAGTTTTGTCTTTTTTAATATGTCTATACATTTTTTATTCATTTGTATTTCAGGTTTAGTTTTTCAGTACATCAACTAAATAAAAATGAGACATTTTATAACATTTATTTAAATAATTAATTTTTTATTTTTATGGTTTTAGTTTTAGCTATAGTTTTAGTTACCTATAACAATAACCCTGGTTAGAATCATGCACAGTTAAACCAGTGACATTTTTCGACAGATTTATTACGGTCCATTTTAATTTAATGTTGACAGAAATGGAATACTTGAATTATGGAAAACATCACCTCAAAATGAAAATTTTATCATCATTTAATGAAGTAATTCAAAACCTTTATTATTTTTTCCTACATTGTTATTTGTTATCTAAATACACTGTGCAATAGCAATGGTTACTATTATATCCTGTGCAGTCAGCTGTCTCACCCGCACCTGCTGCTGCTGATGGCTGTGAGTATGTCCGTTGACCTGGACAGCACAAAGCTGGTCTATGAGAGAGTAAATGTGGGGTCCCTGTACAGTCTGCTGCACCAAAGGGTAATATTTGAAATTTCAAAAAGATTTATAAATGACTGAGAAGTGGCTTTATCTTAAAATGTGTTCATTGTTTATTTCCACACTCTGCAGCGGGATGAGTTTCCTCTCCTACAGCTGGTTGACCTGTTATCAGTGGTGCTACAGGTGTGTGAGGTGTTAATGTACCTGCATGGCCGATCTCTGGTGCTCCGGGCCCTTTCCTCACACACTGTACTCATTGTGCACCCTGGAATTGCCAAGGTTACGGGCCTCGGGTTCATTGTGCCCAGGTACGCCGTCCTCACTAAAGGCATATATTAAAGGGGTCATGACATGAGAAATCCTATTTGCCTTGATCTTTTGGCATATAAGAGCTGCATTACAAACCAAAAGTAAATGATTTCATAATGCTTTGTCTGGAAAGGAGCGTTTTTTTTTAATCATGTTGTCAAAACACTCACATGCAAATAGCGAGGGGGCGTTGATACGGTTTCCTATACAGTGACTTTAGCCAATCACAACAGTGGCTGATTCTTGACAAGCCTTAAAGGGGTCATATGATGCTTTTTTAAAGATCATTATTTTGTGTATTTGGTGTAACAGAATATGCTGACATGCTTTAATGTTCAAAAAACACATTATTTTTCAAATACTGTACATTATTGTAAGTCCTCTATGCCCCGCCTCTCTCAACGCTTCGTTTTCTACAAAGTCCCTCCTTCCGACAAGAGCAGTCTGCTCTGATTGGCCAGCTGACCCAGTGCATTGTGATTGGCCGAACACCGCAAGCACTCGTCGGAAATGTAACGCCCCTTACCATAATCGCGAGCTTCATCTTTCAAAATAAATGTAAAGACGTGGCAGAGTCTTAACTTTGATAAAGAATATCTCTTTGGTTTTGAGACTTTAGTCTTTGCAACTTCAGGGATCTTATCTATGCACAATCAGCTTGTAACACTCCAAAGAGAAAGGAAAACTTGAAATCGCATCATATGACCCCTTTAAAGGACCCGCCCCTTGAAGGTGCTGTATGTAAGTTTTTGACTCTACTAAAGCATAAAAATATGTTTATAATATGTTATAATAATGTAATATGTTTGCAGATATTTAAGAAACATGCTAAGTTAACATACTTGTTTATCTGAAAAACAATGCTACAGTCCTTTGAATATGTGCGTTCCGGGCCGGAATGTCGGTCTTTGTTTTGGTTTGTGAAACACGCCCACTGCCAGTTTACCCAATTGTATTTCGGCACCCCGGGTTGCCAGTTGGTGGAAAACACAGCGTATTTAATTTAATTCATGGTGTCCTCAATCTGGCAACCTGCCTGTGCCTCAAGTCTGAGGAGGAGGGGCCGGATGAAAAAAACCCTCTCCAATACCGGTAGTTTGAATTTGGACTGCAATACCTAGTTCAACCACTCGGTGTCAATCCTACATACAGCACCTTTAAAAACAGATCGTTTCAGACAGAGAGTCAGAATAGGGTTGAAAATAATAATTTTTCCACATATTTGCTTTTTTTTGTGCAAAAAAACTTTATTAACAAGTAAACCTCAAGGAACATATTCAAATAATAATAAAAAATCTTTATATATTTAAAATAACCTGAATTTAGGAAATGTGTAAATTAAATGGCTTCTATTCATAACGGACACGGTTTTTAGTTGTTTGACATGCCTTTACCCTCTTTTCCAATTGCAGTGAGGGAACGGCCCTCTACACCCCACCTCCTGTTCCTTTACCTCTCAGCCTTATCAACTGGGAAGCTCCAGAAGTGATAAGATGTAGAGCATGTACAGGAAAAGCTGATCTCTATAGTGTGTGCACCCTTATACAGGAGATCTATACAGGTACATTCATGCATGCGATGCAAACAGTAGAGCTTGTGTAATAGATCTTGTTTTGTGTTGCTAGCTTGCAAATTGTAAAGCAGTTATATTGCCTTGTACAGATGCTTTGCCATGGGGCTCCACAGACCCACGCTGGATAAAACGGTCGGTAGAAGCCGGCCAGGCTCTGATAGCAAACCCTGCCGTTCCTGAGCCTTATTACCAGTTCCTGCAGGCGGGCCTCCAGCACAGAGCCCAGCACAGGACCAGCAACCTGCACGATTTGTGCTACAATCTACGCTGTTATATAAGGGTTTGTACAATGGTCTAGTTCTGATACTCTTATCTCATAAGTATGTATCAGTGCACATGTAATATGCTTTATTTTCTGGATGTGTACTACTTTTCAAAAGTTGGTGGGTGACATGATAGAAAAATGTAAAATCAGTAAGTAAAATGATTTACGATATGTTATACAAGGTTTTTCCAGATATAGAGAGTAATATTCAGTATATCAGCATAAGAGTAAATGGTGCAATCTAATATACAACAGGAGATAAGAAGCGAGAATACAAGAAGTGGATGGAACTCATGGTCAGCTCGTCAGAGCATCCCTGGATGGAACACTGACATTAATCAGGCGAGAGAGCAGGTCAAATCTGGTGAGATTTCCATTCAGTCATGATTAGGGAACGTTTTAGAGCATAGAAAATTATCGCTTTTGTGAGAAAGTGTTAAGTACATTAATTTGATGTAATACATTCATATAGTTTGTCCTATTCTTTCCTCATAGTATATCAGCACTGCAGGACTGCAGTACACAATGTGATCCAGGAAAATCTCCTGGAAGGAATCTACAAAGAAGAAGAGGAGTCCACCACAGACACTGATGACCTCCACTGGGATATTTTGCATAGTGACGTCACTGCTTTGCAGGAATGGCCAACTACCCATCATACTCCACTTTTTGAGCCACCTTGTTCTAACTATAGTGATACAGACAAGGATCTGGCAATTAACCGCTCTATCTCAAAGCATACTGGCTCCATTGTTCTCAACCTTAAAGTGTCTCAGGTACTTCTACAGCAGGCTGAGCAGAGTCTGGATAATGTAGAAGCGGCCCAATTGGACACCCCTTGCTTTGATGAGGTGGATGCTGTGATGAAGAGGGCGCACATGGAAAAAGAGTGCAGTGATTGTGTTGGGAAGGCTGTGGGACCACCGTTTAAAAATTATATTCCCAACTGGACCATTAATGGAGATGAGGAGGTCAGTCAGTACAGCTCAGCTCAAGATGAGAGCTTCGACAGCACATCCCTTCCTAGTAGTGTAAAGGTACGTGTCACGTTTGATCAGTTTAATGTGCCCTTGCTGAATAAAAGTATTAATTTCTTGAGGAAAGAAAGAAAAAAAACTAAACTAAATGAGTGAAACATACCACCAACAGATCACCTACAAACAAAAAAGGAATAGCAATCAGTAAAGCTTAATGATTTAAATAATTTATCGAAAAAATATGAGGAAAAAGCTTCACTTACAGGAGGAGAACAGGGACTTGAAGAGAGTTGAAACAACAAAAAGAGGACAGCAACATCAAAAATCTGAGAGGTACAACAGTATAAGAGCATTAGCAGAAAAAGACTGATATAAGTCAAAAGGAGAATGATAGATGGATGGCAACAACAGGAAGGATATATATGAACAAATAGGCAAGAAGATGACAAAAAATAAGCAAATACATCTCTTTGTTTCAGGTTACATATGCAACTTGGGTTGTTGGAGACTCAGAAAGATGACACACACCAATCTCTTAAAAAACACGTCCAAACAAGACCCTCATGGACCAGTGAGAAACAACAGCCACACCATTCATTATCTTCATGTGCAATTTATGCAGTTCAAAGACTGTCTTAGAGGTGTCATGTGACTTGTTGTGTGTGTCGGTGCAGGTGAGGTTAGTGAAATGGTGGCCCTAATGACACGTGGGCGATTGGGGTCACCCTTGAGTGCTTTTGGCAGCAGTGACAGTGAGGATGTAGCAGAGCAACAGTTCCACCTACAGGACAGAAATAGTGTGAATGGCTACCAGGAATATGAGACCCAGGAAAGCACTGATCTGGAGCAACTATTCAAGAGTTTTGCCGGTAATAGAGCTGTGCCTGAAATTACTGTTAAAGGGATAGTTCACCTAAAAATTTAAATTTTGTCATCATTTACTGACCCTCATGCTGTTCACCCTCTTGCAACTGTTTGGTTACCCACATTCTTCAAAATATCTTCTTTTGTGTTCATCAGTAGAAAGAAACTCATACAGGTTGGGAACTTGGAACTTGATGACAATTTTCATTTTTTGGGTGAACTGTCCCTTTAAGATATTTCATTTAGTGTTTTATTTAGGCTCAATTCAATATTAAATTCCTTTTTTTTATATATAATAATAATAATAATTTTTTATATTTAAAAATGTGTATAAATGCTATTTAATGGCAGGTATTCAGAGTGAAAGTGAGGAGAGCACAAATTACCACACTATCAATCACACTTTTGATGTGACCAATGGAGTGCTGGAGGTGACAAGCCAAACTGAGGTGATAAACTATGACCTTTATTTATATTTGTTTTGTACCATTTCATTAATGTTTCTTTCTTTTTTTAACGAAACACAGCCACCTACATTTGCATATGAACATTCAGCATGCTTTTTTACATGTAGAATTTTTAAAGGTATAGTAACAAAAACAGTTTTTTTGTATAATAGTCTGTTTAATAAGGCCAGTGTGAGTTTAATAAATCGTCATTTAAAACTAAATCAAGATTGTTGTATGACTTAAACCTTAACATTATATGTGGACTTCTACAACAAAATGCTATAAAAATGCTAAATATGTACCCTTTAATGTATGTTATGTCACAAGGATGAGGGCAGTTCAGATGGTTTGGACTATACACAGACACAGCAATCTAGCATGTTCTACACACCCAAACATCACCTGTCCAACCACACATCATCTGGTGAAGAGCGTTCTCAGGTACAAATAGGCAATTTTAGATATTTTTTGGACACTCTTTATATAATGCAAAAAAATCAGAAGATTAGGCATATGCCTTGAAGAATAAAAGAGGTAGATTTCCTCATCCCTTGTTATGTTTTTCAGTCATTGAGCTCAGAGGATGAGTTGGACGTCACAGTGGAGGTGTGTCGACCCAGCACAACTCCAGCAGAGGGAAAACAGGCTGGTGAAAACAGTCTGAGTGGTATGTAGATCAAAACAGCCTGCAGTCATTGCATTGCCAGCTTTGTGGGTGACATATGTCTTTTTTATAACCTTTATGTCACCCTTTTTTTATCTAGAATACCAGCTTGCTCAAGAGGACTCAAAGGAGTCTGAATCCATGCACAGGTGTATTCCTACCATCAGGTACACGAAATAAAGCATCTCACACAAAGCTCAATAACAGATGATAAAATTCAGTTTATTGTAATATACATGTTCTTTTTTATTAACTGTTAAGTTTTGGGGTCAGCAGTGGAGTAATGGCTGCTGAAATTTCAGCTTTGCCATCACAGGAATACATTACTTTTTAAAATATTAACATCTTCCGGACCCCAAACTATTAAGTGGTAGTGTATTTTGTCACTTTTGTTAAATGCATTTGTATGTATATGTGTTTTGTCATTATAAATGAAATCTTCCTTTGGCTGAGTCTGTGCTCCGTGTTTTGGTAATTTTGTTCGATCAGTTGTTTGCCAGACCTCGCTGAGATTGCAGACCTCTCCAGCATATCCTGTTCACCAGCCAATCACCTAGAATGGGTGGAGTCAGCTGAAGCCCCGCCCATCCCTCTCAGCAGAGGACATCCACCCTGTAACAGCACCCCACGCAGCCCAAAAAGTAAGCTGGGAATCAGAAAAATGTAACATGAATCAAGATTCAGAATATGTTGTGTGGGTCAGTTTCGTCTAATTGTGAGCACTGTTTAATTACAGGCCATAGGACACACCTTAAAGATGTGCAGGTTGGCACTGAGCCCCTCCCTCACCTCCAGAGCTTGTTGGACACGTCACCATGGGGCAGTGCTCCATCCCATACTGTCTGCACAGAGAGTTACGCCACAGTCAGCGCAGGAGACAGCAGCACTGTCAGTCAATGAATCATGATATTTGAATAATATATTTCTGTCAACAATCATATCGGTATCGGGCAATAAATGTGACTTTTTATGTTTTCCATATCAGACCAATAAGTAAAATAGACTGATATACAGCTGACAGTTTATACTCAAATAAACACCCCAGATTGTTTACACCAGTTGGCCTAAATAATGTTAAACCTAAAATGTCTACTTAGAGCCTGATTGTTTTCAGGGTACACAGGCATTTTATTTCTATAATTTTTGTTATACTTTTGTAATTTTTTACTTACATAGTGTAAAATGTTGTCTATGTATTAAAAATAAGAATTAAAAAATAATAAAAATAAAGTTACAAATAAATACAGAAAATAATTAATAAATAAAATGTGATGCAAAAATTTAGCAATAATTAATTGATTTTGTTTCGTCATGTAATTTATTCCTTTATTTTCCTTTATTTATATTTATATATATTTATTTGATTTACTATCTATCTATCTGCCTGTCTATCGAGTGACTTTTAAGGTGGGTGTTTTTTGATAATATCTTTGACCTATATTTCAAAAGTATTAATCATTTCAGTTATTGCCCAAAATGTCAGTATCAGTGCATCTCTGATTTCTAATGTGCTTTGAAATGTCATTTTTTCTGGCATAATATGATGGTACACTCATCAAATATCTTAAGTATTATTGTTTGTTTTATGCTATTGACATCTCTTCTGTGTGTTTTCGCAGCTTGAATTCACTCAGAGCTTTTTCAGTAAAGACAACTTCTTTATATTATATACAAATGCTTGTTGTTTTGTTGTAGAAGCTTGCATCTGATAAATGTAAATGTACCATTATCTTATTTTTGCATCAATATAATCACAGCTGGAGCATTTATATTGATATCCTGATTCTCTTTTCAGACAAATGCCTCTGTGTCCAGCGTCCTGCAGTCTCCAGTAAAAATCAACATCTCTAAGGATGGAAGGGAGGAAATAGACTCTTCCTCCAGCGGTAATGCAGAGTTCAACACTGCCAGCTCTGGAGCCAGACTGTCCACTGAGACCAGCCAGGGGCCCAGTGAAGAGACAGAGCATCCTATTGGTTTGACAGTTTGTTGTTCATTGCAATCATTTTTAAAAACGTAATAATGTATTTGCCATGATGTGAGAATCAAACTGTTTGATTGTGTTTCCTGCAGAGAATAATGATGTGGGTGAGAAGGGAGAGGAGGTAGGTGATGATGACCCGTCAGACTCTGAACGTCAATGGGAGCAAGAGTCCTCTGATGAAAAGGTGTTTGATGATGAAGACATTGCAGAGAAGATGGAAGGATGTGAGGGTGAAAACCCATGTCAGATACATGGTAAGACAGATCTACAGTAGGGCTGGGTTTTTATTAACTTAAATGAGGAATTGAAGTAATGTGCTTCTGTATTTTCAGACCATCATCCAGACCGCAACTCTGCTGATAATGCAAGCTCTCAGAAAAGAGATAAGAGTCACAGCCTTGATGAAACTGAGAGGTAAAACCCCCAATACTTTGCCGTAGTAAAGGGATTTAATTTACTGGTTGTAAACTTTGACACAGTGATGACAAAAAAAAGAAAAAGTGACATATATCAGTGAAATGGCTTTTATTAACATTTAGAATAGTCTATTGTCTACAGCTGTAAGGAATTTATGGGGTGGATGTTTTTTATATTTTAACTGAAAAATTTGTTCATTTTTTAGATCCATGTTAGTAGGTTCTATTTGTTTTTTCCTCTCTTAAAACTTAAATTAAGTTGCTTCTACTTTGAAATGGCTTATGAAATCTTGCAGGGCAAGCTCCACCCTTGATGAGGATCTACAGAGAATGTTTTTGGAAAGAGCCACAGAGCAGAGAAACCTTAGAGACCCAGGGTCCCTGTGAGTGCTGAAGCTCCATGTTTTTCTGTGCAAACACAAAAACTAGCCTAGGATTTTTATAAATAGGATTAAATATGTCTTCTGAATGATATTTTACTCTTAAATTATGTCAAACATTAATCTGTGCTTGGTCTAGCTTGTCTGACATAAAAGGAGATGGGGATGTGAGAGAGGACTTGTGTTGTCCAGAAGGGGACTACATAGAGACAGCAGCAGGTACGTGGATAGAAGTCTTTTTCTAGTCTCCTTTCAAGGGTTAGTACAGACTACCCTTTTCAGCAAACATTGTGATGGTTTTTTTGTGGGCGGAGCTTAGGTGGAGGCAAAAAGATTCCACTGACTGCTTCTCTAACACTAGCTATCAAGATTTTATCAATGACTGGAGAAACACGATTTTACCTGAATATATAAGGTCACTCACTGTCTGGGGCCACGATTGTTATTTCAAAAACGAAACCAGATTGGCCGACGCGTACCCTCACTCAGTGGATGGATGATCTGACAGGATTACTTCCGGTTGAGTGATTCACATCTACACCTACCTTTGAGCAGACACTTCCAGAGTCAGTCAAACTGGACTGTTAAAGAGAAGTTATCAGATCCTAAACAGATCCCGATGTTTTGCGTCTGAATAGTTTTCATTTTAGATGCTTAAGGCATGTGGTTTGTGTTCTTTATGTTGATTTTACTGTTTAATGTAAGAAAATGTTCCAAATAAAAAACTTAGCCTTTAGACTTGTTCTTATGTACATCAACAATTTGAGCTTTGATGTTACTATGGACCGTAACAAATAGATGTAATACATTTTTAAATGTTTTAAATTATATTTGATGTTCTGACGTTGTTGTTACAGAAATGTATTGCCATTTTCTTGTTGCATTCAGTAGCTTCTAAATAAAGGAAACATATAAGATATTTTATTGCATACTCAATTACAACAGTAATCTAAAAAAAGCAAATACACTGAATCTTACCAGTCTCCTCTGCTTCACTGAGATCTGAAATTTGATAAAACATCCGTTTCACTTCACACAAAAAAATAACCTCTTGTGCTGTAAAGTTTCTTTCTTATACAAACCTAATGATGCCACAACAGGTCACGATATAGTTTAATAATGGCTGCATAACATAATGCAGAGGAAATAGGACAGAAAAATAACAGCCAAAAATAAGTTTAGTGCTTAAGGTCTGATCAAATTATTTTCTTTTAAAATGTATGCAATTCTGATTAATGGATATACTTTAACTTTATGGATGTTTATGAAGTGTTTTCAAGTCGCCGTTATTCCTATTCTAAACTGTTGATCCAATCAAAGTGCAAGAAGGGATATACTTCAGCACAGAGGTGGAAGGAACCGGATGATTTACATGTTTTGGTGATGTTTGTGTGTCTATTTTGTCCCCGTTTTCTCCCCGTCTTTTGCCAGCAATGACACAAGTCCTTTTTTATCCAGCTCGATAATTTTAAGATGCTGTAAGGTCTTCAATGCAGAATCACTGACTTTCATGTTCAGCTTCTTCATCCTCTGAGTGCTTATTGGCCCCCTGAAGAGACAAGAATTAAAATATTTAAATAAAATGTATTAGATAACACTTTTATGGTATGCATAATCACATACTAGTTGTCTTAAGTTACATTATATTATCAATCATGTTAGGGCTCAGGGTTAAAGGTGATGCGTTTGCACAAAAATGACCAGACAAACCTGTCTTTATCTGAGAAGTACTCGGATAACTGCTTATAGAGCATGTTGAGGTCATTCAGCTTCAAGTTACCACGTACATTCCGTGGGACAGTCTCAAATGTCCCCTCAGACACCTCGTCACACACGTTCTGTGCTGCAAGAGTGAAAAAAAGCAAAACATTTTTATAATTACTGATATTGACACCGATGCTGATGACCCTTGACACTGTGCCAATGTTACAATTGCTTAATGTTGATAGTCTTCTTCTGTCCTTACATTCAGACTGTGCTTGAGTTTGAGGTTCTTCTGTAGGCACGGCCTAAAGAAACAGAAACACATTCACCAACTCAAAGTAGCTTTTACCTCCAAACGTCACAAATAATTACATTTTAATAAGTACATGCAACTGCTGTTCAAAAATTAAGAGGGAGTAAGATTTTTTTTAAAGAAATTAAGACTTCTATTTAGCAAGGATGCATTAAATTGATCAAAAGTGACAGTCGAGACATTTAAATGTTAAAAAATATTTCTATTTAAACACAATCCTGTTTTTTTTACTTTGTATTCTTCAAAGAATTCTGAAAAAATGTATCATGGTTTACACAAAAATATTTAGCAGAATAACTTTTCAAAATTTATGGTGAGAAGAAATGTTTCTTAAGCATTAAATCAGCATATTAGAATGACACTGAAGACTGAAGTCATAGCGACTGAGAATTCAGTGTTGCAGTGACGAAAAGTTATTTTAAATTGTAATATTTCACAATACTAATGTTTATATTGTATTTGATCAAATCAATGTAGCACTAGTAAGCATAAGAGACTTCTTACAATACCAACCCCAAACTTTTGAACAGTAGTGTAGTTGTGTAATTATGCTAAAAAAAAGCTTTACAAAATGCCTCACCTCTACATTTAATGTGGCAATGGATGAGCAGAGAAAGTCTCTCGCTTCTTGTTCTTCTTTTGTCAGTGGCGGAACCTTGAACAAGATTTCCCATTAGCATAGTCCAAACCCAAAAACCTTAATTTTTTCCAAAGACTATTCCTGAACTATAGTGAAATCATTGTGTATGGCCTCTAGTGTAGTAAGATTAATATGGACTGTTTTGGTTTGTTAGATTTTGGCTGTTGTTGCACAAATGAACAAATACCTGCACATCTGCTGTGTTCTGCAGCTGTTGAACCAGCTGCACAGTGGTGTCCAGGTGAGCTCGTATTGAATCCATTGATCGTTTCTGTTCCACCGCAATCTCCTCCACCTGCGTGCACAGGGCCGCATGCCGCGCTTTGATCGCCGACAGGTTCTCCAGCAACTGAACAGGGTTTCCCTGAAATCCACAACCACAGGTTTAGAAACAGACTCGGTCAGTATTTAAAATTAAAAAATGAATACGAACGTACCTCAAACGTGCCCGCTTCTCGCGCATTGGCCATGAAGTCAAATTTCAGCCGCTTTTCCACATATTCTATATCAGCTTCTGCTTTCTGGAACTACAAGGAAGGACACAGACCTAAACATCACAATTCAGTAAGCATTCACAAGATTTGAATCGGGGTTGACTGCTGTTTGTACGCTTTAGTGGCCCATTTGAATGAGGGAACAACCTAAAACCTGAAACCCTATTAGCAATATTGCACTACTCTGAACACAGTGGACAGCAGAGGCAATACTGATAGGGTCCCAAGAATTAGGATTAGACATGACTTGTAAAACAGAGAGGACAAACCACAATATGCCAGATGAGACGGCGTGCGCACCTCTTTGAAAACTTTCAAACATTGTGCAAAGCTGCTCTCAGATGCTTTGACAATACTATTGCACTGCTAGCTGTCCAATACAGTAGTGCAATGAAGTCAGAGCACATGTTAACAGCACTTGATGTGGCTGGCCACACTGTTGACCCTACCTTTGAGAAAAATCCCTGGCCAATGCCCTTTTAACATTGCACTGCTTTAATAACTGGGTTATCAGTAGTACAATATAAAAGGGGCACTGGACAGACGGTACACATTCAGGGCGGTCCATTTGCATGCTGAAATATCCAATCATGTAAATAATGTCAACAAAAAGTCTGGGAAGAAAAACACAGTTGTCACATAAACATTATAGTGTTGCGATACAGATATGTAGATGTGTCATAATACAGGCAATCATTTTAAAAGTGAGTGTGAATTATGCCATTTTGTTCATTATAGCTATTTTGCATTTATCTAATTTAATAAGTAACAGCCGGAATTGTTCAGATAGAGAATTTAATATTTTTACTCAACATAACTAAAATACATTATCATTAGGCATTTCTGACACTGGCAGTGTAGTAAAGTTACTAATGCTAGTTCGCAACAAAGAGTAACACTGCGCCCCCTATCGTCTCCACTTCCTAACGATATTTAAGCTCATGAAAAAAAATGATATTATTGCATATTATGGATTTACGTAAACAGAATACCAATATAGCTTTTAAGAGATTTTGTAGGCATGCAAATAATCTGTCTAAACTTGAACGAAGAGGACTGTGCTTCTTCCAGAAGCAATGGACACAATTTATAGAAATTGATATCAGTTAATAACAATTGCTACAATAACTGGTGTCTATATAAACCCATAATGTTTACACATATATATTTAAATATCTTATGGAGTAAGGTATAAGGAGAAAGTGCGGGATGCAGCGCGCGGACTCACGCACAGCACAGGCCCTCCCGCCCTCAGCACAGCAGTCATCGAGCCAAATTAACACTTTTCGGAATGAATGCCATGGTTTCGATTCAAAATATGCACATTATAGTAAATTAATCATATTAGGGCTGATTTCTGCTGTAAATACAAGTGAAAAAAATACATTAGCAGTGGCACTAGTTAGCCATCCAGCTACATGTTTTTCTTAATTTTCCAATGTGAGGGAAAGTCAGAGGCATTTACAGAACATGTAACTCTTCGTGTTTGCTCTACATTACGTTGTCTATCGTAAAGGCACCTGTGTCACTTACAGTTAGACGCGTACGGTCGGTTTACACTAGAAAACATCTGATGGAAACGTTTGGCTGAAAAAACAGCTTACCATCGCCTCCAGCTTATCAACTGTCTCCATGTTGAATAGTTTACATTCCTGAAGCAGCCCCGGAAATATAAAGCTCGCAGCAGAACGCAAGACCTTCTCTGATTGGTCAGCTGTCAGAGAGCGTGGAAGATGATTGGTCAGTTCGGAGGCAGAACGAGTGGAAAGGGGTTGTATGTTCGAGATGGAATTTAACGTACTGCATTGTACGTGCTACACAGTGTTTATTATTTATAATGCATAGTATTTAAAATTGATTATTAAATATGTATTGTTGTTGTTTTTTTACTTTCGGCAGTCTGTTGATGCATGCAAAAAAAAAAAATTGGTATTAGTGAAGTGTGGCGACCCATACTCAGAATTAGTCCTCTGCATTTATCCCATCCAAAGTGCAGTGGGCAGCCATTTTTTTGCTGCGGCACCCGGGGAGCAGTTGGGGGTTTGGTGCCTTGTTCAAGGGCACCTCAATCGTGGTATTGAAGGTGGGAGAGAGCGCTGTACATTCACTCTAACCAATAGGCCACGACTTCCCCGTGAATTATATATTCATACTCTGCACAGTATGAATACTCTATACATGATATTTGTAGTACACAAATATTTAGTCCAAGGCCTTGAGAATTACGGGAAGAGAACTATTTTAATCGCCAAGATGTAATGTTCAGGTCAGGGTAACTTTAAAATCATGCTCCTGGATGCTTAAACAAATTCAGTACTAAAAACCGAAGTCTTGATAACAGTTAATATTGTACTATTTAAAAAAAAAGTTTATCAAAAGACTTAAGAGTCATTTAAAAAAATAAAATATATATGACGTCACTTTGTAGGCCGATCGGCTGTTAGCATCACACTGGTTCCCCATAGGCTTTTGGATTATCGCAAAAAATAAGCTCTGTGTTCAACCATATTTCGTGAAACTTACAAGTTTTTTCCATCAATAAAATCTTCACAAAATAATATAACTTTCATGAATTTTGAAGCCTAAATTAAAGCGCCAGAGCTTGTTTTGTTATTTGGTGTAATGAAATGTGTTTATGCGGTTTAAGGTAAAAAAAAAAAAAAACATTATTTTCCACATACTGTATATTATTGTTTCTCCTCTATGCCCCGCCTTTCTGAAACGCGTTGATTTTTACAAAGCTCATCGGTCTGAAAAGCGAGGTGTGCTGTGATTGACCAGCTATCCAGTGCGTTGTGATTGGCCGAATACCTCAAGCGTGTGACGGAAATGATACACCCCTTACCATACTGTGATGCCGTGTCCCGGCGCGACTAGACAAAAACATTAAAACCCATTATAAACGAGGCATTTGTTGCATCCAGTGGGGACATAATTACGGATTATAATGACTTATGCTGTCTTTTTACGCCTTGTGTTGCATCGTGCCGCAGAAACATAAAACCATGTCTACATTTGTGATCTGAGAAATGACAAACAAGTGCTATTCTACACTGCCCAAATAACTCGTGTTTGAATCGTCAGTGGCAACTGCGCCGGAGGCTCGTTCTCGGCTTCTCGCCCGGTTTTGTTAGAGGACGTTGGAGTCACAGTCAGGAGGGTTCTATATCAAATATTACTTTTAAAACAGCAAGCACTTACAGAAAATCGAGCCAGCATGTTCTCCCGCATCGCTAGACCTACCGCCACCCTCGTCCGGAGCTTGTCCACCTCCTCCCAGGTAAAATCTCATATTTGTGAACATGCGAGTGCGCTAACAGTAGCCTCCATGATTTGTATGAATGTGCGATGACGTTAATGTCAAACTGAGATGAATACAGTGTACTTTTTTCCTCTATACTCATTCGTGGTTCTTAATGAGCCATATACTACAATAGTATAATTTAAACTAAGTTAAGTAAACCTGCATCCACGTAACCTAGAAGTTACCTTGCTTGACATTTAGCCATCACATTGACAGTATAGGTGTTGCAACATAACTCGTTTCTTAGTCATATGGTCTACATGTTTATGGAAGTTGCAAGGATCATTCAGTATTCCCCATGAGTCTGTTGAAATTCTGTTATCTGGCATGCGAAGGTTTTCAGTCGACCTTGCCAACTCGTTTAGTCTGCCTGTGTAGGATCATCCTGGTTCGAGGACGTATCGCTTTGACTCACGTCCACCTTTGAAAGGTCATTACTGTAATCAGCTACTTGGCTCACTGTTGCGTAGTAAATACAACAAAGTGTCTTGATCTGTAATGAGAGATCAGGCTTAATGCAGCTTTTGTTTTTGTGAACAGCAAGGCCATGGGAAAAAGCAAAAGTGCTACAGAGATGCTGTCATTTGTGCCATCTGATATGTATTATAAGGCTTATACTTTTATTTTTATACAGCAGGGACTTTCAGACTGAGGCTTTGGGACCACAAAAAATTTAAAACGGTGAAATTAAGTATTATTAAATAAGATTGAACTAAATAAACACATCAACCACATGTGATGACCCCGGGCTGGACTCCGCTTCGTCCACAGTGAAAGCCAACGACTTTTTTAACTGATTATTTATTATAGGTGGAGTTTTTTATTATTATGCAACAAAAGAACAACACATTTAAAGACAGAATAAGAACAAAAGACAACAATGAGGGTTCCATACATTAATCCAAAACATACTATGTTAGTTTATAAGAATGGATAAGGTGGATAAAGAACTCTCAGAGAAAAGTTTCAATGACGTTTCACCCAAACCGACCAATCGACCGTCAGAATGTGAACAGCCATTGAAAAAGTAGGCGGGGATAAACTCCGCCCCTTTGAATGTGACTGACAAAAATTCTATTCAATCATAGCACTGCACACACATTGCTACACCAATCAGAGAAGGCCAGTAGTTCATAGCGTCAACTAAGCTTGGCTGCGCCGGAGGCTCGTTCTCGGCTTCTCGCCCGGTTTTGTTAGAGGACGTTGGAGTCACAGTCAGGAGGGTTCTATATCAAATATTACTTTTAAAACAGCAAGCACTTACAGAAAATCGAGCCAGCATGTTCTCCCGCATCGCTAGACCTACCGCCACCCTCGTCCGGAGCTTGTCCACCTCCTCCCAGGTAAAATCTCATATTTGTGAACATGCGAGTGCGCTAACAGTAGCCTCCATGATTTGTATGAATGTGCGATGACGTTAATGTCAAACTGAGATGAATACAGTGTACTTTTTTCCTCTATACTCATTCGTGGTTCTTAATGAGCCATATACTACAATAGTATAATTTAAACTAAGTTAAGTAAACCTGCATCCACGTAACCTAGAAGTTACCTTGCTTGACATTTAGCCATCACATTGACAGTATAGGTGTTGCAACATAACTCGTTTCTTAGTCATATGGTCTACATGTTTATGGAAGTTGCAAGGATCATTCAGTATTCCCCATGAGTCTGTTGAAATTCTGTTATCTGGCATGCGAAGGTTTTCAGTCGACCTTGCCAACTCGTTTAGTCTGCCTGTGTAGGATCATCCTGGTTCGAGGACGTATCGCTTTGACTCACGTCCACCTTTGAAAGGTCATTACTGTAATCAGCTACTTGGCTCACTGTTGCGTAGTAAATACAACAAAGTGTCTTGATCTGTAATGAGAGATCAGGCTTAATGCAGCTTTTGTTTTTGTGAACAGCAAGGCCATGGGAAAAAGCAAAAGTGCTACAGAGATGCTGTCATTTGTGCCATCTGATATGTATTATAAGGCTTATACTTTTATTTTTATACAGCAGGGACTTTCAGACTGAGGCTTTGGGACCACAAAAAATGTAAAACGGTGAAATTAAGTATTATTAAATAAGATTGAACTAAATAAACACATGTAAAATGTTTAGTTAGTGAATAAATAGTAAAATAGTTGCTTTATACGAAGAAACAATAAGTCTTAAGAGTACAGTACTATAGTGAGTAGAATTTTAACAAATGAATGTAACAGGTGCCATCTGATATGTATTATAAGGCTTATACTTTTATTTTTATACAGCAGGGACTTTCAGACTGAGGCTTTGGGACCACAAAAAATTTAAAACGGTGAAATTAAGTATTATTAAATAAGATTGAACTAAATAAACACATGTAAAACGTTTAGTTAGTGAATAAATAGTAAAATAGTTGCTTTATACGAAGAAACAATAAGTCTTAAGAGTACAGTACTATAGTGAGTAGAATTTTAACAAATTAATGTAACAAACTAGATATTTTGCAAGTAATATTTTATACATTAATAATATAAAATTTTCACTGTATACATTGAATCTTTATACATTAAAATATAGAGCTGCCTTTTAAATATTAGTATGGGGTCCTTCTCATGAGTATGATAATATTTGTGAGTCTGTGGCATTTAAAAGATTATTTTTTATAAAAGTCTGACTTTTTTTTTTTTTTTTACATAATGCCATGCGTGCATTTCAACTGCCATTTGTGTAAAACTAATTAGTTTGTTTGAGTGCTCTAAACACATTCATATGCCATACAGACTTCCTTTGCACTGTCTAAACCATTTACAGAATCCTTAATCACTTGGTTTAAACCCTGTGGTAGTAAAAATTCCCACTGGCTTTTTTGTGTGAACTACATGTGTAAACGCTTAGAGACACACACAATTTAAAAAATTTGCATTCAGTAGTTGTTCTATATTTTGATTTAATCACTTTTTAATCAGCTTATGATTAATGATCCCTCTTTAATGTATTTAATGCACACAACAATATAAAGCAGTACATTTATTGGTGTGTGGATTCTAAGGGCACTTTAATGATAAGAGTAAGGTGGATCAACATATATTGTGACACATTGCAATTTTTTCTCCTTGCAGCACAATGCGAAAGTAGCTGTCTTGGGTGCCTCAGGTGGCATCGGGCAGCCCCTGTCCCTCCTGCTGAAGAACAGCCCTTTAGTGAGCGAGCTTTCGCTCTACGATATTGCTCACACTCCTGGAGTGGCTGCTGACCTCAGTCACATTGAGACCAGAGCCACTGTCACAGGTACAGAGATGGTTTCAGAACCTCAAACCCCTTAGGTTCGGGTTAGTCATTTGAGTTTTTATTAGTTGCAGAGAAATCATATTTGCTACTTTAAAGTTGGCATACAATGAAAATTCACCCTATCTATTTTCTAAATGCATCTTTTTGATCTTCTTGTGAAAGATTCATCCATGTAATAATTTGAAGCCTGTAGTTTGTAAGTAAAATTTTAACTTCTCTCTGGTCATGTATGCCAGAATTCAGTCGTTTAGTTCACTTAAACCTTGCCAGTTTCTTACAATCAAACTCGCATTCAGATCTGCCTCCATCCAATCAACAACTGATAGAACAAATCTCCCACCTTTTTTTTCCTCCCAAAAATCCCTCTCATTCAGATGTAATTCACAATGCAGAGGAAAAGATACTTTCATGTCATTGTGACTTTGAATATGTCTGCTATAGCGTTCACTGTCTTTCATTGCAGGATACATGGGAGCAGATCAGCTCGGTGCTGCTCTGAAAGGTTGTGAAGTTGTTGTCATCCCTGCTGGTGTCCCAAGGAAGCCTGGTGAGTATATTTTACCTCTGCTTTATTTTTAAGTACATTAAAGTCCGCATGGAATGGCATTTGTAGCCCATTTTATTTGTGCATATGTGCAATATGTGTAAAATTCATACAAGGGCTTGGAGATGTAAATGGGCTCAATTATAAATCAAAAATGTATAGAAACCCAGCAGATTTTCTCAAGAGAGTGCTTTTTCATCCTTTTTCTAGGTATGACCCGTGATGATCTGTTTAACACCAATGCCACCATTGTGGCCACATTAGCTGATGCTTGCGCCCGTCACTGTCCTCAGGCCATGATCTGCATCATTTCAAACCCAGTAAGTAATATTATAAGGTATCAGGAGCCTTGCATTGCTGAGATATTACTTTAAACCTGCTCAGAGGTCATAAGGGTTTATAGCACTATACATGTCTGTAAGATAATGATCTATTATCCATTAAGATAATTGATAAATGTTCCTATAGAAAAATAGATTCCGTATTGAATAGGGATGTTCATTTTGGTTATTTTCCCTAACCGACAACCGACGCTCGTTAACCGATTATTAACCGTTAACCGACAAGATTATTTTAAATTAGAATTTATATATATATATAAAACTAATAAATAGGTCTATATGAGAAATATATTTTTACTTAAATAATAAATTAAGAAAATTAAAGCAAAACTGTGCAACAAGTAGCCTAGTATGCAGAGTTTCGGTTCATTTTTGTGCGGCGCGAAAGGAAACAGACGGCAGAAAGCCGCATCCTATTTTTCTTTAGGCTTATTTTACAAAAGCACAAAGATTTGTTTTTGTTGTGAATGTACACAAGTAAAGGCAAACCTTTTACAATTCCGATTATCTTTGACTAAAAGGAGTAGTTTCTTCCACTGTTAGAAGGAAAAAATTCAAGTGATTGCGACGGCGCCGCATGCGCATGCAGTTAAGCTTTGCTACCTTGACAATGCAGCCTGTTCATTATCATAATAAAATACAGTCAGTCAAACATGAAAAAAAACAATGCTCAGTTTAAATATGTAGTAAAATCTGTTAAGCCGTTAAATGTTATCACAGTACCGCCGTGATGTTATGCAAAACATTTTGTTTTACGTGGATATTGGAACGCGAGTGAAGTACATAATAAATAATAATTTGGCATTCAAATACATCGCGAATATGGAAACATTTGATTTTGTGTGGAATGAGAGACCCAACGTTGGTTTCAGTTTCGTTTTAGCCTAAATGAATTCGTTTTGGCTTGTCGTTTATATTGCTATAGCTTATGTTTTTAATTCTTGTTCTTTTCTAAATACTGTTAATTGAACCGTTTAACTGATTGTATTAATCGGTCAAAATTCTTATGGTCGGTTAACAGTTAACCGGTTAAAATGAACATCCCTAGTATTGAACTTTGATACTGTGAATTTCAGGTGAACTCCACCATCCCAATCACATCAGAGGTGATGAAGAAACATGGTGTCTACAACCCCAACAGAGTCTTTGGGGTCACAACACTGGATATTGTCAGAGCAAACACTTTTGTTGCTGAGCTCAAAGTGAGTTCTATAAATTCAAGATTGATAGAAGAATTGATTTTTAAGTGCAGATTTATTTAATGTCATCACCAGAAAATATATTTGCACAGTCAGCCCATTGTCACCATTGCTGCAATATTTCCAGGGCCTTGATCCCGCCAGAGTCAATGTGCCCGTTGTTGGAGGTCATGCAGGAAAGACCATTATTCCTCTCATTTCACGGGTAATGAAAACCTGTATTACTACCTTATTTATAATTTATTCAATAAGTATATGAACAATATTATGTCACAATAACTAGCAAGACAAGCTGTGGCAGGATATTTTGTTGGTTGGTTGTTTTTCTTGCACATTGCACTGCATAACCCTGCCCAATGTGAAACCTAATTGGTCCAAAATCCAGTACCATGAACATCAAATAACTGATTGGCTGTGATTGCTTTTGGACAGATTTTTATCTTATTATTTATTATTTTATTTTGTGTTGTTTTCAGTGTACTCCCAAGGTTGAGTTCCCTGCAGATCAGCTGTCTGCTCTAACAGGCAGGATCCAGGAAGCAGGAACTGAGGTTGTGAAAGCTAAAGCCGGTGCAGGTGAGAACTGAAGTTTTATATGATATTTGAGTGCTTGTTTGTTTTTTGATTAAGAACTCTGAAGTTTGGTTCCTTCGTTGCCAGCATTTTAATTGTGCGGATGCTCACTTTAGTCAAGTAAAATACCATTGAGAAGATCTGGAATATGAATTCATATGTGTAAACTGAATATGTCTCTTTTCATAGGCTCAGCCACTCTGTCAATGGCCTATGCTGGAGCCAGGTTCACATTCTCCCTTCTCGATGCCATGAATGGAAAAGAGGGCGTTGTTGAATGTGCATTTGTGAGATCTGAGGAGACCGAATGCAAATACTTCTCTACACCTCTCCTCCTCGGGGTAAATCTAGCTAGATCCTCTTTAGATGTTACTTCACCTAATTTTCAGATCATACAATGTCAAAGTAACAACCATAAACTGGTCAAGTAGACTAGGTTTTGTTTGTTTGTTTTAATGAACTTTTTTTTTTGTTATTTTTTTATTTTCTCTTTCTTTTCTCAGAAAAACGGCATTGAAAAGAACCTTGGTCTTGGCAAGCTCTCTGTGTTTGAGGAGAAGCTGGTAGCTGAAGCCATGGATGAACTGAAGGGCTCCATCAAGAATGGAGAAGATTTTGTTGCAAACATGAAGTGATCTGTGCTTGTGGCACACTACCTTGTGAAATGTCATTTATTTATAAAGCTGAGTCATTGTATGTCAACAAGGTTTCCTAAAATGTATTTTCGTGTTCAAAGACACTGTCAGTCTTTGCACAATTAAAATGGTCAGATCCACCCATCAATAAAACAATCTGTTTACCAACTCTAATCTTCTTTGCATTTCAGTTGACTCCATTTGAAATATTGCTATTTTGCTATGAGATCCTTTTGTTGACTTGTATTTTGTTGTTGTTGATAATTAGGTGCAATTTGAGTGACTCATAAATCAATGTGAATTAATTTTACATAAACAGAAATGGCTCTGAGTAATCCTGCTGTTAGCGTGGGTTTTTTAATTTAATATTCAAATGATTAGTGGTTTAGAATTATTTAAGTGACATTTGAAATGGATATTACATTTGTATGATTTATTCATAAAAAAAGTGTATATGATTGCTGCAAATCTACCCCTTAGTTGTATCATTTGAATATGGGGTGCTGCATGCATGAAAGGTTTGAAAGGATTTTTCCCCCAAAAATATTTTGCAACCGTAACCAGCTAACATTTTAAAAACATGAAACATTTATAAATATCCAGTTTTGTTTTTAATGTTATTTCACATTTTCCAATTACAGCAGCATAAGCCGCCTTAGAAGAAATTTAAAAACAAAAAAATATTACTTTTGAAATATGCAGATTATTAAATGTATAATTATCCAGTTTATTGTTCATGCTTTTAAAAATGTCAATGGGTTAGGTCACATTATCTCAAATTTCCCTCCATTTTACTGGCATAAAAAGAAAATTATAGTGCCACCAAATTAGATAAATCAAAACAGGCTGATTTTTGTTTTGTATTCTGTACAAAACATTTGTCAAAGCTGAAGAAACACGTTTCTAAATTCTTGTCTCACGTTGGCTTATTTGCATAAGGTTTGCTCATTTGCATACGTGCGGAGCGTCCTGCCACCAATCAGTACAGGCGGTTCGTACGAAAACATCGTCTCCGCATCCACCACCGTACTAATTAGCCACATTTTCCGTTTCCATGACTTTACTGTGTCAGTAAATTAACAGCTAATTACACAAAACATTCCGAATTTAGACGGAAAGGTTTTTTGGTGTACAGACCGTCGAATAATGGCTGGTTTAACAGAGGAGCGTTTGCGCGTGGTGGCGATCATTCACGCGCTCAAAGCTGTCGGTATCCGCGTGAAAAACTGGAAGAACTTTCTAAATGGAGATTCAAACGGTGAACAAACTTTTATTCAGGTAAAGAAAAAAAAAACGTATGAAACTCCATGCCTTTATTTGTTGCTTAAATGTATAGCATTGTCATACGTTGAATCCGTCTCTCAGGAGGGCGCGTCACAACGCTTTGCTTTTGGACGTGAGCTGCGCTTGCTCCCTCAACAGGAGCTGTCTGACATGGGCGGTACAGTACCTCAGTATGTGTAATATCTTATTAAAATTGAGTTTAATAAAGATGAGTTTCACGTGTGAATCATGACAGTGGTTGACAGAAACCTGTGTTTTGTATGCGTCTGATGTGCTGGTTTTCAGGTTCCTGGTGGAGGCCTGTGGGTATCTGTCACAACATCTGGATACAGAGGGTCTTTTCAGGAAGACTGGTTCCCTGAGTCGTATAAGGGGTCTAAGGGTAAATTCCTTCAAATATGTCATGTCGAAATGTCATTAGTAAGACTTTTTCATACCGCTATGTAGTTTTGCATGTTAAATATATATTTACAGTGATTTATTGTTTTAAAGGATGACCACCTTTTCATTCAGGTACATATTTTGACCTTTACATATGCACTTTTTTTTTTTTTAGCTACACTAGTTTTATTCTGCTGGACAAAGTTTGGAATAATTAAGATTTTTTTTTAAGTGTTTTTGAAAAGAAGTCTCTTGTGTTTACCCAGGCTAATAATTATTTGAACAAAAATACAGTTAAAACCGTAATATTGTGATTTAAAAAGAAAAAGATATTAACACTTTTTTCCGAGCAAGGTTGCATTAAGTTGATCAAAAGTGACAGCAAAGACATTTAAAATGTTACAAACGTTACATTTCTATTACAATTGAATGCTGACGTGAGCTGCGCTTGCTCCCTCAACAGGAGCTGTCTGACATGGGCGGTACAGTACCTCAGTATGTGTAATATCTTATTAAAATTGAGTTTAATAAAGATGAGTTTCACGTGTGAATCATGACAGTGGTTGACAGAAACCTGTGTTTTGTATGCGTCTGATGTGCTGGTTTTCAGGTTCCTGGTGGAGGCCTGTGGGTATCTGTCACAACATCTGGATACAGAGGGTCTTTTCAGGAAGACTGGTTCCCTGAGTCGTATAAGGGGTCTAAGGGTAAATTCCTTCAAATATGTCATGTCGAAATGTCATTAGTAAGACTTTTTCATACCGCTATGTAGTTTTGCATGTTAAATATATATTTACAGTGATTTATTGTTTTAAAGGATGACCACCTTTTCATTCAGGTACATATTTTGACCTTTACATATGCACTTTTTTTTTTTTTAGCTACACTAGTTTTATTCTGCTGGACAAAGTTTGGAATAATTAAGATTTTTTTTAAGTGTTTTTGAAAAGAAGTCTCTTGTGTTTACCCAGGCTAATAATTATTTGAACAAAAATACAGTTAAAACTGTAATATTGTGATTTAAAAAGAAAAAGATATTAACACTTTTTTCCGAGCAAGGTTGCATTAAGTTGATCAAAAGTGACAGCAAAGACATTTAAAATGTTACAAACGTTACATTTCTATTACAATTGAATGCTGTTCTGTTGATCAAAGAATCCTGAAAAAATGTATCACGGTTTCCACTAAAATATTAAGCAGCAAAAAACTGTTTCCAGTATTGATAATAATAAGAATCATTATTAACTGAGCACCAATAATAATTGTAATTGATCACCAAAGCAGCATTAGAATGATTTCTGAAGGATCATGTGACACTGAAGACTGAAGTAATGGCTGCTAAAAAATTGTTTTGCTATCACAGAAATAAATTCCATTTTAAAATGGAAAGCAGTTGTAACGCCAAGTGCTTCTATTTCATAGGCAGATCTGGAGCAGGGAAAGCCTGTCTTCCTTCCCTCGCATGCATCCCTCCTGCAGCCCTCTGATGTCGCCTCTCTCATCAAGCAATTCCTACGTGAGCTGCCGTCTCCTCTCATCCCTACGAACCTCCAGATCCCTCTGATTCAGGCCCAGGGACTTGAGATGACACATGACCAGGAGGGAGCAAGAAACAGAACAACACTGCTCATAACAGCTCTGTTTCCTTCATCCCACGCTCGTGCACTCAGATACCTCTGCACCTTTCTGCATCAAGTTGCAGAGAGGTTTTACATTTGATTAGAGTTTGAAAATATGCAGCTTGTTTTTTAAGTCTTTTATACTACTTGGATTTGTGCACGTTAAAGGAATATTCTGTTATTTTTTCTGTAATCTTTATGCTTTATTCAAATGTATTATTTTTGGTAATTGAGAGCATCCAACAGATGCTTTACATAGACATGCAGACAATGCACAAGCTCATTCTTGGAGGTCAGTAATGATTTATTATTATTTTTTTTCTCATGTTCATGTCTTTGATCAGATGCAGTGAAAATAGAATGGGTGCTACCAGTCTGGCAGTTGTTATTGCTCCTAACCTGCTTCAGTCTCCAGCACCACCTTGCAAACTCACTCTGGACACAGAGAAACATTTAGACCAGCAGACATCAGTGATCAAATCACTTATTCTTCATGCAGATCGTATTGGTAAAGATGTATGAGATTTGTATAAATAATTGGTTTTCTGGCCATTTGCTGGTTTAGCATCATTTTATTTTGTGTAAACTGAACTTGTGCATGAACTTTGTATATCAGGTGTTGTTCCATCGTGTGTGCTGGAGGCATCAAAAGCAACAGTGAGAACTGAGACGCCCTCTCCTGCAGGTGGCGCTATGTTTAGTAAGAGGACAGGACTCAGTGTTTACAGAAGTCTGAGAAGACAAAGGAGGCGAAGTGTTGGTGGTGAGATTTTGATGATAAATACATGTTGTCATCCTTGATTTGAATCCTATTCTTATATTTTCTAATTTATATAATTATAAAAATTCTATTCATCAAAGAATCCTGAAAAAAGTATAACACAGAATATTAAGCAGCACAAGTGTTTTCTGCATTTAACAATGTCAAAATGTTGCCTCGTGCTCAGGCTAAGACATCAGTGATCAAATCACTTATTCTTCATGCAGATCGTATTGGTAAAGATGTATGAGATTTGTATAAATAATTGGTTTTCTGGCCATTTGCTGGTTTAGCATCATTTTATTTTGTGTAAACTGAACTTGTGCATGAACTTTGTATATCAGGTGTTGTTCCATCGTGTGTGCTGGAGGCATCAAAAGCAACAGTGAGAACTGAGACGCCCTCTCCTGCAGGTGGCGCTATGTTTAGTAAGAGGACAGGACTCAGTGTTTACAGAAGTCTGAGAAGACAAAGGAGGCGAAGTGTTGGTGGTGAGATTTTGATGATAAATACATGTTGTCATCCTTGATTTGAATCCTATTCTTATATTTTCTAATTTATATAATTATAAAAATTCTATTCATCAAAGAATCCTGAAAAAAGTATAACACAGAATATTAAGCAGCACAAGTGTTTTCTGCATTTAACAATGTCAAAATGTTGCCTCGTGCTCAGGCTATATATATATATATCAAAATATTGTTTCAGAAATATTTGTAGATGCTTTTTCCAAACTGAAGCCATGTCGTACTCCCACTGGACCACCGATAGTCTTAGATGTCACACCAGGTGAGCCACTATGTTTTTGTATAGCAAGTGCCTTCATATAATTTAGTATCTCTTTATCAAAAATACTTTTGATCTCTGCAGTGACTCCTCTCTCAAAAAGCCCCACCCCTCAATCACCAGTTACAGTCAAACGCAAAGCCACTGAGGAATCACTTCCTGAACTTGAAGGATCTGCAAGGAAAAGGTCATTTGTGACTTACCTGATATCAGTGGTGTCTGGTTGTAAGAAGACTCCATAGACTACTTGCAGATAATGTATTGTGTGTTTATTATTGTTCAGGCGGTCTCTGCATGACCTAAGAGAGGACACACTGACAACCATCACCCAGCCAGAAGGTCAGTCTATTTATGTGTGGATTTTAACAGCTCATCTCGTGATTGTTGCAGAATATTAACACAACAAAGTTGCTTTGCAAAAATCTGCTAGAATGTGTAAGCAGTCATAGTCCCCTGGAAGAAAAGTGTAGAAAAGAAGATCCCATTCCCACCACTTCCAAAAAGAGAAACCACATAAGAGAACAGCAGAAATCACTTAGGTATTGTGACTGCACTCTACACTATACTAAAATTACCAAACCATTTGGGCATGAATTCTAATGTACAAAGAGCAGCAGTCAGGCTTATCTATTTTGGGGTTTTCAGGCCTCCAGCACAAGAAGAAAAGGTGCATCGGAGAAGAAAATCTCTCAGATTTTTCGCTGTGTCCAGTGGCAACAACAGTAACCCTGTGTGTGTGGATTTGCTGTCATTGTTGTCTATTTATACATGGTGCAGTGCAGAGGTTGGATTGTCACCGTTTGAAACAGGACTTTACACTTGGCACTGTACACAGAAGCATGAAGGCAACATACTGCCAAGACTAAAATATAAATCTAGACTATAGATTAAATACGCAGGGTGTATATATGAATTTAGCATGTAAGAATGAGGTCCATTACTGCTATAATATACGGTTGCACTGCACTCTATATTCTCACGCTTCTGTGGAGAGAGGAGCCCATCCTTGACCTTAGTGTTGTACGTGCCTGACCTGGTTGTGTTGGGGTTATGTCAACATGAGCACTTAGTCATTCTTGCCATAGCTAAAACTATCCTGTCATGGATGCACTGAAAGATTTGAACACAGTATGGAGTTCATCCCAATGCAGAAGATCGAGATAACTAGTGCTGTTCTGCTGTTGTTTGTGATGCTGCTGTCTATGAACTCTTGAGTCTATATACAGAGATGGGATTAGCAGCTTTCTGGGCTCGTCCTAAACCAACACCTGTTTGTTTCAGTCTATTTAAAATGTCTGTTACATGTCCTCCTACTTTTATGACCGCCTCTAGAGCTTTTCGGCTCATATTTAGTGCTTTGTTTGATTAACCGGAACATTTCAAGAACACCGTTTAACTGTAGAAGAAACTACACTACCAGTCAAAAGTTTGGAGACCGTTTTTATTTGTTTCTCATGATCTGAAAGTCTTCTGAAATCCTTGAAATTAAGTTTGTAGACAAATATGACTTGTATGTGATTTTTGTGATAAAGTCTGTTGTTTTATCGTATTTGAAACAAGTTGGACTTGATAGTGAAAGAAAAACAGTTCAAAAGTGTTCAGCTTGTGAACTCCTGTCTACAAAACATCTTGGAATGCATCTCGTAATGCATCTCAGGATGTTTGGAGTGAGCGGAACTGTAATCTAGGCAAACTAAAATATGAAAACGAAATATAATTGCCATACTTTATTTGTGTTGGATGATTTTACTATTATTCTAAACTGTGCAGGTGTGTCCAAAGTTTTGACTGGTAGTATGTATTTCAGGATTCAGAACATTTTGGATCATTCTTCTTTAAATTCTTTAAAGTTTTATTCTGGAGTGATTGTTCAACGGGAGTCAGACAGATGTTGTCTCTGTTAGACTGTGCTAATGATCTTTAGTTTTGACTGTCATTGATGAACAGTCATTTGTTCATGGCTCAGTTTCCAGTCAGCACTGTTGGAGTTATGTCGTGCTCGGGGAAAATTGTATGTAGCAGGTGCTATAGCCTGAAATAGAGGGACAGAGAATGAGGAGGCTGGGAGAGACAAGTAGGGGAGAAGGCTGATTGAAAAAGAATTTAATGTTTGTGTTGCTGTAGTTAGATAGCACAGCTAATGTTTCAAAAAGTGACATGCTAACATTACTAAAAAATAAAAAAATTATAATTTTTTTTCTTTATCTTTATGCATGTAGATTTTTGTGACCTCATGTTAATTGACTACATTGAATACTTTTAAAATTTAATTTGTCACACAGCAGGTCTATGGCAACTGCAAAAATCTAAATGTTGATTTTAAAAATGTGTAAGCTCAAAGAAATTATGCATTTCTGCAGTAACTTATAATATCTAAAAATGTACACATTCCCATAAATTAAAAAACCGAAATAAATAAATGTAAAACAAAAATAATGTAAAATTACTACATTTTAAAATAACTATTTTAAAATGAATCCAGTCGTCAGTGTCACATGAATCTTCAGAAATTATTCTAATATGCTAATTTGCTACTTAAGATGTTGAAGAAAAAAAATGGCTTTATTTATTTTTTTCAGACATCTTTGAATTGAAAGTTCAAAGGAATATTATTTATTTGAAATGGAGATCTTTTGTAACTGTAAAAGTCTTTACTGTCATTTTTAACAATTTAATGCAACCTTGCTGAATTAAAGTATTAATAATTATTGAAAAAAACCTGACCCCACATTTTTGAACAGTAATATATTTCCAACAACAGCTTTAAATATGTTACATTTTAATTGGATGATGTAAATGAGATCAACTCTTATTCACTTGATTTTTGTGATCTCACAATGACTATATTGTCAAGTGCTGGGTCTCAGGTTGCTAGCAGCATGTGTCAGTGTGGACAGGGTTTTACACGCCCCACTGGCTTACATTCCAGCCCTGGAATATCTCAGCAGATGACACACTTACATACATAATACACCGTCACATAGACTAGTCTGTCAAGGACATGACCTGCCCCAATTTCTTTATAAAGGCATGCTTGCATTACATCTTTATTATAAAATGCTGACAATAGAAATTACATAAACATGACATTTGTACAACACATCACATAATTTGAACTGAATCAGTGGAGCAATTATGAGGCTGTCTATCAAATCAAGACTTTTGAGGTCACCTTATATGGGAATAGAGTTACAGAGGGTGGGTGCTGCACATAAAAATTAGTAGCACCACCATAGGCGTTCTATTAAGAACAATTTGACTTTCTCATAGAGCTTAAATATATAAAGGCAAAAATCTAAGCCTCCTCAAGTGTTTTAGCTGTAACCTGAGCCACATTCAGGATTAGATGCATGCTGCACTGATCAAGGCTACAAATGCCATGTTATTTAGCAGCAATGTGTGCTATGAACATGCTGTTACAAAGAAAACAGTGATGACTTGTCTAAAGCAGTATTTCAGGGAGTGTTAATATCTTACCAGACATCAGATTGGATTCCAAATAAGCAAAGAAACTGAGATATTTATTGCCAGTAGTCTTAATATCACACAATACATCAAAAAACAATATTGTCTTGAACACAAAGTTGAAAGTAGCTTTTTTGCCTTTTAAATATTCTAAAATATTTAGGCTTATTTAAAACTTGATATATAATCCTAAGAATTATGTTCTGACATCCATTTTCTTTGTAGGATGACCAGGTGGTTCTACAGTGCACTGCTACTATCCTGAAGGAGCAGATCAAACTCTGTCTGTCCTGTGAGGGTTTTGGGAATCGCCTGTGTTTTCTGGAAACTACATCCAATGCCCAGGTTTGCGTTTCATTTATTTCATTCTGAATTTATGAAATATTGTTTTGGTTTTGGATTCCCAGTTTCCTGTACACTCCTTTTTTGCCATTCTAGAATGTTCCTCCTGATCTGGCTATATGCTGCTTTATTCTGGAGCAGTCCTTATCTGTGCGGGCCCTTCAGGAGATGCTGGCTAACACAACTGAGCTTAATGAGGTTGGTTCAGCGCACATACATCAGATCTTAGTCACCTAAAAAAAGAGTTAATTTAAGTTTGAAACAGCATGAGGGTTCTCCATAAAAGTGCACATATTTATAACCTGAAAATGTTTTCACATTGTTTTTCTGAGCTCAGGATGACTATCATCTTGTCCTCCTTCTCTTTTCTTCTCTTTTGCCTGTTTTAGGCAGTCGATTTGGATAAATGGGTAGGTTTCTCTTTGTGCCTCGAAATGTTCTTTGAATTTTGCTTATTCTTATTACTGTGTTTCTATTATAGCTGCCTTGTCATTGTGATGCTAAACACTGTCAAAGTGTCCTTGTCTTTACTTGCCTTAATATTGTATTAATCTTTTGTTTATTAGTGTGTCAAAAAACTGGTCTTGTTGGAGTTTGAAATGTAACGACAGAGAGGCATATAGATGTTTATGCAACTCTTGAATTGTGTATAGTCATGTTTTCCCACCTTCTTCCAAGTCTTCACAAGGAGGAGGCCACCGCACATTGTTGTATGGCCACGCCATCCTGCTCAGACACACTCACTCTGGCATGGTGGGTCAAATCTCAATACACATAAACACCACTAGATGAGTATTTTGAGAAACTTTGCTACAGTGAAAGAGTCATTCAACCTTTCCATTTTTATTGATTGACATCTTTTTGCACGATGCAGTACCTCAGCTGTTTGACGACATCAAGGTCACTCACAGACAAGCTGGCCTTTGACGTGGGCTTGCGTGAGGAGTCGACAGGTGTCTGATTTCTAGTGGATCATTATCACAAATATACTTGTAAATATACAGAAGGGAACTCTGACTAAAAGATGTCCATATCTTCATCCAGGTGAGGCATGTTGGTGGACCATTCACCCTGCATCCAAGCAGAGGTCAGAGGGTGAGAAGGTCAGGGTGGGAGACGATCTCATCCTGGTTAGCGTGTCCTCTGAAAGATATCTGGTAATGCTCGTCTCTACTGTATGTAGTAAGCACAGTCTCTTTTGGATGGAGCCTACACTTTTTACCTGAAAAATTTGTCCCATCAACAGCACCTTTCCTATGCCAGCGGAGACCTCATGGTGGATGCTTCTTTTATGCAAACTCTTTGGAACATGAACCCAGTCTGTTCTGGTTGTGAGCTGGCAGAGGGTTAGCAACTAATATTGATATGCATTGTGGAGATCACCAATTTTTTTTGTCTTTACAACTAATGTAATGCATTATTTTGTGATGTTTCCTTTGTTCAGGGTATCTGACTGGAGGGCATGTTCTGCGTCTTTTCCACGGGCACATGGATGAATGTTTAACAATTCCTGCCGCTGACCAGGGCGATGACCATAGACGGTGAGATATAAAGCCATATGCTAATGTAATGTAAACAATTTAATGTCATTTTTTTTGTAGTGTAAACACGCACCACAGTCAATCTTTTCTTGTTTTGCATGATTTTTCAGAAATGCACACTATGAAGGTGGAGCCGTGTGCAGCCACGCCAGATCTCTGTGGAGGCTGGAGCCTCTTCGCATTGGGTTGGTGCTATTTGTATACATCAAGAGCCTTAACAAGAAGAAAATGTTTTTATTTTTTCTTTTATTTATTTTTTTCTTTCTTTGAGCTGATGTTCAACCTGTACACAGGTGGAGTGGTAGCCACATGAAGTGGGGTCAGTCCTTCAGAGTGCGTCACATCACCACAGGCAGGTATCTGTGTCTGGATGAAGAGAAAGGACTCCTGCTTGTGGATGCGGAAAAAGCGAATACAAAGAACTCTGCTTTCTGCTTTCGTGCTTCAAAGGTTTGTATACTGCTCTCAGCTTCATACCTTACTCTCTGGGAGGTTGCCCTTTTGAAAATGTTTTCTAACAATCTTTGACGTCAAACATCATGTGACTGAGTAGGAGAAGACGGAGGTGGCTCAGAAACGTGATGTGGAGGGAATGGGGATCCCAGAGATCAAGTATGGAGAGTCCATGTGCTTTGTGCAGCATGTCTCTACCAGCCTATGGCTTACATATGCCTCGGTGGATGCCAAATCTGCTCGGCTGGGGCCACTGAAAAGGAAGGTACAAATATTAATCACATTATTACTGTTTTACTGTATCAAATAAATGCATTCTTGGTGATCATAAGAGACTTCGTCCAAAAAATAAATCTTACTGACTCCAGACATTTGAACAGCAATGTAAATTCACTCTGGTCAGGCCTAAAACGGCACAATTCAGAGATTTCACCAGTGCTAATATGCGTGTTTCTTTTTCTTAGGCTATACTTCATCAGGAGGGTCACATGGATGATGCTCTGACTGTGGCGCGTTCTCAAACAGCAGAATCCCAGGCTGCTAGAATGATCTATAGCACAACAGGACTCTTCACTCAGTTCATTAAGTAAGAAAAATCCTATCTTAAACCAGCTTATAGTGGTTTAGGCTGGTCTTCTAGGATGAAAGAAAAAAACTACCCAAAAACCATCAAAACAGACCAGCTTAGCCAGACTTGGAGGCCAGATAGATGAGCTTAGCGCCATTAACACTGATTTAATAAAAAAATAGCTTTTTATCAAGGGTAAATATTAGGGTAAAGATAAATAATATTTATTTGTTAATTTGTGTTGTCTCACAGGGGTCTGGACTCTCTGAGAGGGAAGAGTAAATCTCCAGGCCCATCGTCCCCATCTCTGCCTCTAGATGCCGTGGTTCTGTCCCTGCAAGATCTCATCTTCTATTTCCGCCCTCCAGAGGAGGAGCTGGAACATGAGGAGAAGCAGACCAAACTGCGCTCCTTAAGGAACCGACAGAATCTATTCCAAGAGGAGGTTAGACATGCTGGCAAATATATACTGTTTACAACTGCAAATAATTTCAGTTATACTAAATCATATATTGTCTTTGCATTCACTGCATATAACATTTACAAAAACATACGCACATAGTAACCAAGGTCTGCTTTGTTGCATAGGGCATGATCAGTCTCGTATTGGACTGTGTTGATCGGCTGAATGTCTACAACACTTCAGCCCACTTCTCAGAATTTGCCGGGGAAGAAGCAGCTGAGTACTGGAAAGAGATAGTCAACTTATTTTATGAGCTGTTGGGTATGGCCGTGTTTAGTAATGTTTGTAATATGTAATGCATGCTTAGCCACACTGTTTTCAGTGTTTTTGGAAAAATGTAAAGCCCTTACACATTTTATATTTTACATTTTATTATAGCATCTCTGATCAGAGGAAACAGGGCAAACTGTGCTTTGTTCTGTGATAATCTTGATTGGTTGGTCAGCAAACTGGACCGTTTAGAGGCATCCTCAGGTAGGAAGCCATAATTTATTTAAAAATAGAGGCCGCTGAGATTTATTTAAAAGCTTGAATCCATGATATATTTTTTTAGGATTCTTTGATAAATAGAAAGTTCGACAACATTTATTTGATATAGAATGTCTGTACTGTCACACTGGATCAATTTAATGTGTCCTTGCTGATTGAAAATATTTTTTTCTTAAAAATGGCTTTTAAACGGTAGTGTAAATGTGCATATTTTAACTGCCAGGCATTCTGGAGGTGCTGTATTGTATCCTTATTGAAAGCCCTGAGGTGCTTAACATCATCCAGGAGAACCACATCAAATCTATCATTGCACTTTTGGACAAACATGGACGCAATCACAAGGTTGATATCTTTTCCTCATCAAGATTTGAAACTTTTCTGGACTGCACCTTCAGTCGTATCTGTTCTGTTGTGACTTTTCATTGTAGGTTCTAGATGTCCTCTGCTCTTTATGCGTGTGTAATGGTGTTGCCGTGAGGTCCAATCAGAATCTGATCACTGAGAATCTGCTTCCGGGGCGTGATCTCCTCCTGCAGACCAACATCATCAATTATGTCACCAGGTCTGACTACAAACCAAATAATACATCATAAAAGAGATATGTAGATTAGTTTGTTTGGCATCTGGAGCTCATGTTTGATGTTTTGCAGTATGAGACCCAACATTTTTCTGGGCACATGTGAAGGCTCTACACAATATAAGAAGTGGTACTACGAGTTAATTGTAGACCATGTGGAGTCATTCTTGACTGCTCAGGCATGTCACCTTCGTGTTGGCTGGGCTTTGACCGAGGGTTACAGCCCTTACCCTGGAGGAGGAGAGGGATGGGGAAGCAATGGAGTTGGAGATGATCTTTACTCATATGGCTTTGATGGGCTACATCTGTGGACAGGTGAGGATTGTCTTCCTTCATCTGTTCCAGCACACTGATACTGCGGTCATCTATAACATTATGCTCTTGTCAGGTCGCGTACTACGTCAGGTGTCCTCGTCAAATCCACACATTCTCGCGGCTGGAGATGTGGTGAGCTGCTGTTTGGATCTGAGCGTTCCCAGCATCTCCTTCCGGATCAATGGACATCCCGTTCAAGGCATGTTCGAGAACTTCAACCTGGATGGTCTCTTTTTCCCTGCGGTCAGCTTCTCGGCTGGGATCAAGTAAGAGCCAAGCTTTTAATTTCAACTCATTAATGTTAAACTTAAATCTCCAGTTCTGTTCCTGGAGGGCCGCTATCCAGAAGAGTTTAGCTCTAGCCCTTATTAAACACAATTGAACCAGCTAATCAGGGTCTTTAGGATCACTAGAAACTTCCAGGCAGGTGAGATGGTGCTAAACTCTGCAGGAAAGTGGACCTCCGAGAGCAGAATTGAACCTGACCTAAAAGGACAAATTCAAAAATGCGTTCCAATTTTTTGCCGTCACAGAGTTCGGTTTCTTCTTGGTGGACGGCATGGAGACTTTAAATTCCTTCCTCCTCCTGGTTATGCCCCATGCTATGAGGCAGTTCTGCCCAAAGATAGACTGCGTATTGAGCCCATTAAAGAGTACAAGCATGACTTTGATGGGGTCCGGAACCTTTTGGGACCGACCCAGTCTCTTTCCCACACTGCCTTCACTCCATGTCCGGTGGACACTGTGCAGGTAGGATTTCATAAAATGTAGCTAAAGGAATATTTTAATAAAGTGACCTCTACTGATTTTGCTATCTAAATTATTTCTGCAGATTGTGCTTCCTCCTCATCTAGAGCGGATTAGAGAGAAACTGGCTGAGAACAGCCATGAGCTGTGGGCCGTCACTCGAATTGAGCAGGGCTGGACCTATGGACCGGTCAGTCTATGACTACATAAGATAAATATATCATTAAAGGATATAATTAAAATACTATGTGCACAATAAACATATTTAATATATAAATAATGTGTCTTTTTGTTGATTTTTCTCTGTATGAAGTCAAGTACTCAATACTGTCAGTCTGCTGTCCACACTCTTTCAGTTTCGTGATGACAACAAGAAGCTGCATCCTTGTTTAGTGGATTTCCAGAGCCTCCCAGAGCCTGAGAAGAACTACAACTTGGCAATGTCCGGAGAGACACTGAAGTGAGTGAAATACTGAGATTTGACATGTTTGTTTTTGTCTGGTTAATAAATCAGTTTCTCTGTATTGTCTCTATAGGACTCTTCTGGCTTTAGGATGTCACGTTGGCATGGGTGACGAAAAAGCAGAGGAGAACTTGAAGAAAATCAAACTTCCTAAAACGTCAGTATTATAGAATATTCTGATAACCACTAATCACGAATATGATTAATGAAGTCTTATTAGAAAGAAATGAATACTTAAATTAATACTACAGCAAGGATGCATTAAAATTTTATCAAAATGAAAGGAAAGACTATTACATTGTTTTAAGAAAAAATCAGTTTTAGTTAAATTATTTTCTTTATTATTCATCAAAGAATCCTGAAAAAAATCTTGGTTTCCGCAAAAATATTAAACAGTACGGCTGTTTTCAACATTGATAATTAGAAATGTTTTTGAGCACCATATCAGCATATTAGAATGATTTCTGAAAGATCATGTGACACTGAAGACTGGAGCAATGAATACTGAAAATTCAGCTTTGGTATCGCAGGAATAAATTACATTTTAGAATTTAAAAGTTATTTTTAATTGTAATAATGTTTCACTATATTTTTTGATTGAAAAAAAATCTGCCTTTGTGAGCTTAAGATACTTACCGAACTCAAACGTTTGATCAGTACTAAACATGTAAAAAATGTCTAAACTTAAATTAGTTTCTGTTTAATTCTTAGGTATATGCAAAGTAATGGATACAAACCTGCTCCTCTGGACCTCAACCATGTGAAACTGACACCGAATCAGAACACACTTGTGGAAAGACTGGCTGAAAATGGACACAACGTCTGGGCTCGAGACCGTGTTCGTCAAGGCTGGACTTACAGCATTATTCAGGTAGGGCTGCACACTTTTTTTCAGGATCAACAAAATATATAAATAAATGACAAAAATAAGGAAATGCATCCAGAGCATGGCTTATCATTTTTCGTTTTTAAAGGGGTCATATGATGCGATTTCAATTTTTCCTTTCTCTTTGGAGTGTAACAAGCTCTTGGTGCTTAAAGAAGATCTGTAAAGTTGCAAAGACTGAAGTCTCAAATCCAAAGAGATATTCTTTTATAAAAGTTAAGAGTCAGCCGCGCCTACCTAAAACGGCTCGTTCTAACACGCCCCCACATACAGTGGGGCAAAAAAGTATTTAGTCAGCCACCAATTGTGCAAGTTCTCCCACTTAAAAAGATGAGAGAGGCCTGTAATTTTCATCATAGGTATACCTCAACTATGAGAGACAAAATGAGAAAAAAAATCCAGAAAATCACATTGTAGGATTTTTAAAGAATTAATTGGTAAATTCCTCGGTAAAATAAGTATTTGGTCACCTACAAACAAGCAAGATTTCTGGCTCTCACAGACCTGTAACAACTTCTTTAAGAGGCTCCTCTGTCCTCCACTCGTTACCTGTATTAATGGCATCTGTTTGAACTCATTATCAGTATAAAAGACACCTGTCCACAGAAGCAGAGTCCAGCCCGGAGTCGTCACATGTCCTTCCGGACGCTCCTTCGTCGAAATCGCCGGCCGCGCCGTTCTCAAGCCCGCCACCTCTGCTCCCTCTAACCCTCCCACAGTTCCTCACGCTAGCAAGTGTCCATGCAGATAGAGAGTTGGGATCAGATGACCTGGCCTATGTCTTCAATGGGTTCAAGGTACCTAAATGTTAAATTTTTTAGCATTCTTAGAGGCCTCTTTGTTTTAAGAACCTCCTACAGGTGTTAATTGCACCTAATGTGTTTACTATCACTTTTGACCAAATTAATGTAGAGTAAAATATAAATCTCTTTAAAAATGAAACCGAACAGTACTGTACGTCTGTCCATCTAGTCATTTACCAAATCAGCCTTTTCAAAGGGAACTTAAAATCATACAATGAATTTTGTATTTGTAAACTTTTACTCATTGAAGCCTCTATGACCATTTATTTTAGTTGGCCATGGGGCTGGCAGTGGTCGGAGTGATAAGATCCGTGTGTTCAGGGCAGAGAAATCCTACGCTGTAACCCAGGGAAAATGGTACTTTGAGTTTGAGGCGGTAACAGTGGGAGAGATGAGAGTTGGGTGGGCAAGACCAAGTGTCCATGCAGATAGAGAGTTGGGATCAGATGACCTGGCCTATGTCTTCAATGGGTTCAAGGTACCTAAATGTTAAATTTTTTAGCATTCTTAGAGGCCTCTTTGTTTTAAGAATCTCCTACAGGTGTTAATTGCACCTAATGTGTTTACTATCACTTTTGACCAAATTAATGTAGAGTAAAATATAAATATCTTTAAAAATGAAACTGAACAGTACTGTATAATATAATATATCTGATTTTTAACCGTAGGCTCAGCGTTGGCACATAGGGAATGAGCCGTTTGGCCGGCAGTGGCAGTCTGGTGACGTGGTGGGCTGCATGATTGACCTGACGGAACAGAACATCATGTTTACTCTGAATGGAGAAATGCTTATTAGTGACTCTGGATCTGAGATGGCCTTCAAAGACATTGAGATCGGAGAAGGTGAGGGTCACGAAAAGGAATAAGATTGAGACATTAGTTGCTGTGACATATAATAATATGTCCGTTGTTCTCCTGAGCAGGCTTCATCCCTGTGTGCAGTCTGGGGCTGTCTCAGGTTGGGCGTATCAACCTTGGGCAGAATGTGAGCAGCCTGCGTTACTTCACAATCTGTGGCCTGCAGGAAGGTTTTGAGCCTTTTGCCATCAACATGAAGAGAGATATTACCATGTGGTTCAGCAAGAGCTTGCCCCAGTTTGTGCCTGTGCCAACAGACCACCCTCATATTGAGGTAAAAACGCACTGAGAATGCCTTTATTAATTCATGTGAATGTCAGCTGCAGGTCCTTCACTCAATCAAGTGATGTTAAGTTAAACTAAAACTATTAAAAATCATCTTCATTCATTAAAACGAAGCTGAAATAAAATCAAATATGACTATTAGATGAAAAACTTTAATGATGTGAAAAAATGTTGTGAAAAATGTTGCAAATAACTCAAATAAGATGAAGTACTAAAATGATTAAACCTAAAACAGAAATTGAAATAATTAAAAACTAAATTAGATGCATTAAAAAAAATGAATAAATGACAATTCCTAGAACTTAAATCAAAATTAAAATGAAAACTGAACATATCAAATATTCTTCCAAATATTAATAAACACTGTAATAGTCTAAAAATAACAATGTCTCAGACCCTTTTCTTCTTTCATTGCTCCAACAGGTGTCCCGTGTGGATGGAACAGTGGATAGCGCCCCTTGTCTGAAACTGAACCATAGGACATTTGGGTCTCAGAATGCCAACACAGACCTTCTGTTCTTTAGACTCAGCATGCCAATCGAATTCCATGAAACCTTCAAAGTGCCAGTGGGAGCTTCACCCCTCACCCGAACCCTCACTATCCCTGAGGATGAGGCCCTTGAGGTGGACCCTGAATCTGAATTTGAGCTCCTGAAGAAGTCAGCCACTCGTAAGGAGCAAGATGAGAAAGAAAAAGAGCCATCTGTCCCTAAAGAGCTTCCTGGCAACAAAGAGGGCGAGAATGAGAAGGACACCACCACAGAGAAGAGCAAAAAGAGAGGGTGAGAGAATATAAAGTAAATGAGAGATTTGTAATCCTCTCTTTTGTTTCAGAAATGACAAAGTATCCATGATTTCCAGGTTTTTTTCCAAGGCGAAGAAGGCAGCGTTTATTGCCCCACCACCGGTGGTTCCAACAGTGCCTCGTCTGATGGAGGATGTTGTCCCAGATGATCGAGACGATGCTGATATTATCTCTAACACAACAACTGTATGAATGAAATGTTATAATCTTTTCCTTACTAAATATCTTTGCATCACTTGCAGAATTTTGTCTAAATAATGCTTTGATCCTTGACAATGTTGTCATGTATAATAAAAGCTTCTTTTCATTCCACCAGTATTATTATTCAGTCCGGGTGTTTGCCGGACAGGAGCCCAGTGGAGTATGGGTAGGGTGGGTCACTCCTGACTACCACCAGTATGACCCACATTTTGATCTGGGTAAAGTCAGAAATGTAACTGTTACGGTTGGGGACGATAAAGGCAACATTCATGACAGGTAAGACCATTCATGCTGCTACATACTTTAGTACATTTTCCACCAGAATAGGCATACATGAGTAAGGACCCAGGCTTAACTTAAACCATTTCATATCACTTTACATTTCTCAGAACAATACAGTGTCTTTCCTCTGCTTTCCTCAGTGTAAAACGCAGCAATTGCTACATGGTTTGGGGAGGAGAGTTTAGCAGCTCACAGCAAACACGCATCAGCCAGGAGGATTTTGTGATTGGCTGCTTGGTGGACCTGGACACAGGACTGATGACCTTTACAGCCAATGGGAAAGAGATCAATGCCTTCTACCAGGTGAGAGTGGTCAAAGTGAAGTAGTTTAAATTACATGATTACATGTTTGCAGCAGTGTTCCAAGTGCTATATAATATAATTTCATGTTTTTATTTATTCATCTCTTTTATTTTACAAATACTTAAATGCACCATAATTGTATGCCCATTTAATGTGACATTAAGCTCTTTCTCTGTGTTTCAGGTGGAACCCAGTACTAAGCTCTTCCCTGCTGTCTTTTGTTTGCCGTCAAGCCAGAACATGTTACAGGTGGAACTCGGCAAACTAAAGGTCACTATCTCATGCTAAAGATGTCATTTTGTTGTACAAACACTATATAGTAATTTTTAATGTAAATTATTCTTATTCTACTTTTTCTTTTCTATATCCAGAACATTATGCCCATCTCTGCGGCCATGTTCCGTAGCGACCATAAGAACCCGGTCCCTCAGTGTCCTCCCAGGTTGGATGTCCAGATGTTGACACCTGTCATATGGAGCCGGATGCCCAATCACTTTTTGGCTCCTGAAACTGGCCGTGTGAGTGAGAGGCAGGGCTGGAAAGTGCAATGCATGGAGTCTCTTATTATGATGGCGCTGCACATTCCAGAAGAAAACAGGTATTACATTAGTATGGAAATAGTTCCTGGTTATTTCATTAGAAATTAGAAAAAAATTACTTGATCCTTTTAAATAAAAGAATTCAGTGTGTTATGAAAAATGTAACTTTCAAAACTGAAAATGTTCTTTACCTCTCTTCTCCAGGTGCATTGACATCCTGGAACTGTCGGAGTGCACCGACCTAATGAAGTTCCATTACCACACACTGAAATTGTACGGCTCGGTGTGCGCTCTGGGCAACAACCGTGTCGCTCACGCCCTCTGCAGCCACGTTGACGAATCGCAGCTCTTTTACGCCATCGAAAACACCTTCCTTCCCGGCCCCATCCGCAGCGGCTACTACGACTTGCTCATCTCCATGCACCTCGAGTCTGCCAAGCGCAACCGTCTCATGACTAATAAAGAGTTCATTGTGCCCATGACGGATGAAACGCGTAGCATCACCCTCTATTCAGATGCTGAGAAGGCCCATGCGCTTCCTGGTGTTGGGCTCACCACCTGTCTACGCCCCAAACTACACTTTGCCCCAACTGGATTTGTGGGTACTAATGCAGACCTTTACACCCTCAGTCCCATTTTACCTCTGCAGGTAGGTGGAGGAAATTAAATTTGTGTCTTGTTGTAAAGACTGCCACAAAATTAGCATCTTAATTTCTCTTTGCTGCCTCTTTTTGTCTTTCTGTACTGTAGATGCTTAAAGACCATGCCCTCAGCATGCTTACAGAAGCCGTGCAGGATGGTGGACAGGCCATGCGAGATCCTGTAGGTGGCAGCGTTGAGTTCCACTTCGTGCCCATTCTGAAGCTCATTAGCACCTTGCCCAAGTGCTATATAATATAATTTCATGTTTTTATTTATTCATCTCTTTTATTTTACAAATACTTAAATGCACCATAATTGTATGCCCATTTAATGTGACATTAAGCTCTTTCTCTGTGTTTCAGGTGGAACCCAGTACTAAGCTCTTCCCTGCTGTCTTTTGTTTGCCGTCAAGCCAGAACATGTTACAGGTGGAACTCGGCAAACTAAAGGTCACTATCTCATGCTAAAGATGTCATTTTGTTGTACAAACACTATATAGTAATTTTTAATGTAAATTATTCTTATTCTACTTTTTCTTTTCTATATCCAGAACATTATGCCCATCTCTGCGGCCATGTTCCGTAGCGACCATAAGAACCCGGTCCCTCAGTGTCCTCCCAGGTTGGATGTCCAGATGTTGACACCTGTCATATGGAGCCGGATGCCCAATCACTTTTTGGCTCCTGAAACTGGCCGTGTGAGTGAGAGGCAGGGCTGGAAAGTGCAATGCATGGAGTCTCTTATTATGATGGCGCTGCACATTCCAGAAGAAAACAGGTATTACATTAGTATGGAAATAGTTCCTGGTTATTTCATTAGAAATTAGAAAAAAATTACTTGATCCTTTTAAATAAAAGAATTCAGTGTGTTATGAAAAATGTAACTTTCAAAACTGAAAATGTTCTTTACCTCTCTTCTCCAGGTGCATTGACATCCTGGAACTGTCGGAGTGCACCGACCTAATGAAGTTCCATTACCACACACTGAAATTGTACGGCTCGGTGTGCGCTCTGGGCAACAACCGTGTCGCTCACGCCCTCTGCAGCCACGTTGACGAATCGCAGCTCTTTTACGCCATCGAAAACACCTTCCTTCCCGGCCCCATCCGCAGCGGCTACTACGACTTGCTCATCTCCATGCACCTCGAGTCTGCCAAGCGCAACCGTCTCATGACTAATAAAGAGTTCATTGTGCCCATGACGGATGAAACGCGTAGCATCACCCTCTATTCAGATGCTGAGAAGGCCCATGCGCTTCCTGGTGTTGGGCTCACCACCTGTCTACGCCCCAAACTACACTTTGCCCCAACTGGATTTGTGGGTACTAATGCAGACCTTTACACCCTCAGTCCCATTTTACCTCTGCAGGTAGGTGGAGGAAATTAAATTTGTGTCTTGTTGTAAAGACTGCCACAAAATTAGCATCTTCATTTCTCTTTGCTGCCTCTTTTTGTCTTTCTGTACTGTAGATGCTTAAAGACCATGCCCTCAGCATGCTTACAGAAGCCGTGCAGGATGGTGGGCAGGCCATGCGAGATCCTGTAGGTGGCAGCGTTGAGTTCCACTTCGTGCCCATTCTGAAGCTCATTAGCACCTTGCTAATAATGGGCGTGTTTGATGACCGCGATGTCAAGCACATCCTGAAGCTAATCGAACCATCCGTCTTCACTGATGGTGAGAACCCAGCTGAAGAACTGGAGGCTGCCAAAACTGGAGATGCTGAACAACAGCTGGTCTGCAAAGAGGAAGGAATGAAGGCAAAAGAGGAAGAGGAGGAAGTAGAGGGTGAAAATGAGAGAGAGCAGCTGGATGAAGGAATGGGAGAGGAAGAGGAAGAAGAGCTTGAAGAAGAGGAGGAGGATGAGCTCGAACCTGAGGAGGAGGAATATGAAAAGCATGCAGGAAAAGAAGGGAAGGAGGATGAACATGCTGCAGAAAAAATGGATAGAGAGAAAACAACAGATGAAGAAGTTGAGAAAGAAACTGGTGCAGCAGAGGCAGAAGCAAAGGAAGAGGAGGATGTGGGAGAGGGACTGCTGCACATGAAACTTCCTGAGTCTGTTAAACTTCAGGTGAAGTACTATTGATTGAAGACTTTAAAATATATTAGTATTTCTCTAACTTTTTGACTTTTTTTTTTTTCTTTCTCATCCTTAGATGTGTACTCTCCTGCAATATTTCTGCGACTGTGAGCTACGTCACAGAGTGGAAGCCATAATTGCTTTCTCATACAGGTTTGTCAACCAGGTGCAGACCAATCAGAGACAGCGATATAATGAGCTCATGCAGGCCTTCACGATGAGCGCCGCAGAAACAGCCCGCAAGACCCGCGAATTCCGCTCCCCTCCACAGGAACAGGTACTGTTCAGCTGCTCTGGAGAGACAATGCAGCTTTGGTATATATAAAGCTTTTTTAGCTTTATATATACCAAGGCTGCTTTTTCTTGCCAGGGTAAAAAAGAGCTCAAATTTACACTTACACTGTTTATTCAGGTGAACATGTTGATGAGCTTTAAGAACTCTCCAGAGGAGGAAGTTTGCCCCGTTCCTGAGGAAGTCCGGAATGATCTGCTGACATTTCACCATGACCTTTTGGCTCACTGTGGTCAGTTTAACCACACAGACTAAACCCTTTTCAAAGAACATATACTGTCACCGTTTCATATAAGGATTAAAGAAAAGTCTTGATTTTTGTTTTGGGGGTGTACTAGAACATGCTCTCATGTTTGGTGGTTTGAAAAACACAAATTTTCACATCATTTACATTATTACAATCCCTTTCTCCCCAGTCGGGCACAAACGGCTCGATTAGTTCCAGGTTTGATGAAGGCCTGCCTTCTGAAAAAACGAAATGTCAAAACCGCATGACAGGAAGTAAGTGCGCAAGACTGTCCCAGGTCTTAAAACGCTCAAGAGCAGTGCCCTAAATGCACACTAAATCCACACTATCTCAAACACCCCTCCGGAGCGGTATTCAAGGCTTGGTGTATCCCATCATGCATCTTGTTCTGGAAATAAATCACGAGACTTTTTTGCCAAGATCGCGAGAGGTCACGGAAACCTTTCCAATGTAAGTTAAATATTATTATTAATAATAATAAGATATTACATATAATTTGGTAGTAAAACAAAGTGCAACACTTTTTTTTTGGTGCAAAGGTGAGTATATTTATTTTGTACATTATTTGCAACTGCTTTTTATCACTTAAAAGGTGCAATAGGAGATCTTGGAAAATGCTAACTTTAGTCTGATAGCACTGAAAGCGAACGTCCCACCCTCCCTGCAATCGCCGTCCAAAGCCACGCCCCCTGAACACATTTACATTTAGTCATTTTGCAGACGCTTTTATCCAAAGCGACTTACAATTGGGGGAAACATAAAGCGATTCTTCTTAAAGAGGCAAACAGATACAGAAAGTGCTTGTAATACCAAGTTTCTAGACATTGTTCAAATAAGTACAAGCTACAGTATAAAGAGAAGGAATAAAAAAAGAGATATCATTTTTTTTATGATGATGATGAAGTCAAGTAGCTTCGAAAGAGATGAGTTTTCAGCTGTCGCTTGAAAATTGTCAGGGATTCAGCATTCCGGATAGGGGTGGGAAGATCGTTCCACCAGCCAGGAATGGTGAACGAGAATGTTCTGGAAAGTGATTTTGAGCCTCTCTGTGAAACGAGGCGTCGCTCACTAGCGGATCTCAGACTTCTGGAGGGGATGTAGATTCGTAGTAGTGAGTGGAAGTAGGCGGGTGCTGAG